ATGGTGAGTTCAAATAAACCAAGACAGAAAAGGAACAAAAGTGAATGTGTTATGGTGGAGACCTTAAAACGGTGGGTCTCAACCTTCCTAATGCTGCGACCCTTTAATACAGTTCCTCATGTTGTGGTGACCCCCAACCATAAAATTATTTTATGTTTTCCATATTTTTTTGAAAATATGTTTTCTGATGGTCTTAGGTGACCCCTGTGAAAGGGTTGTTCAACCCCCAAAGGGGTCGCGACCCACAGGTTGAGAACCGCTGCCTAAAACATTTTGTTTGCATCCTCAAATGCCATCAGCTGAATTTGATTAGTGTATTGGACGCCCTAGTACACTGTATCAAAAAGAAGTCAGAACTCAATATGGATATGACTTTATGTTCAATAGTGATCTCCTAATTAAAAAAAGAAAAAAGTCTTGGAGAGCGTACTTAAAAGTATTTGTGGAAAACAAGATATAGATTCATGAAAGAATGGGTGATAATGTGGATTGAATAAAAAATGAGTGACAGTACAAAACATGTTGAAGAGGTTCAAGATCCTAAAAAATCAAGTGATAAGTTTTTAAAGTAGAACAAAAGACAATGTATGAAGTAGCTTACAGACATAATGAAAGCAAAACTATTTACAAGAATAGAAAGTAAGGGAGAGATGTGGTGAAATGTTAACTACATTTGGGTATATTTTCTTTCCTGACATCATGTTCTACAGCACGGGTGACAAGCTTGCCATGTCACGTTGGTGTCACGTGATGTATCATGACTTTTTTCCTGTTCGTGGCGCTGGGAGTAGGCGTGGTCTGAATGTGAAACCTCCAGTCTGTGGGCCACCAGTTTGACACCCCTGTTCTACAGTATAGTCTAGTTACTGTTGTTTTGTGCTTTGCATGTTGCTTATCCTGCAAGAGAATACCGTGTGTGTCTGTGTGTGTGTATATGTATGTATGCATGCATGCATACATACATACATATATATATCACCTGACTATATCACAGCAAAAATTCTGCTCTGCTCTTTTAAATAGAATGCTGAAGTTAAGTCCTTTCACACCAACATTCACAAGAATCTGGTACAGGTAGTTCAGGATTACAATCATTTGTTTAGTGACATTTCAAAGTTACAACACTGAAAAAAGTGACATGCCTGTTTTTCACATGGTTGTCACAGCATCCCTGTGGTCACATGACCAAAATTCAGGCACTTTGCAACTGGCACCTATTTATGACCAGTTGCAATGTCCCATGGTCATTGATCACCTTTTGCAAACTTTTAACATACAAAGCCTTTGGGGAAGGCATGTCACTTAACAACCATGTTAGTAACTTAACTGCAGTGATTCATTTAACAACTGTGGCAAGAAAAGTCATAAAACAGGGCAACATTCATTTAATTTTATTGATTAGCAATAGAAATGTGGAGCTCAATTGTGGTCATAAGCTGAGAACCATCTGTATCAGGTATCAACAACTAAGAATTATACTGTTTTAATTACTTCCAAATTTTATTTCCCCATTACAGTATTCTTCAACACTGAAGCAGTTCCTGTATCTTGAATAGCCATAATTATGAACCTTTGCCCAATTTCTAAACTGAATGTCATTCCACATATAGTATCTTAAAAGTTTGCTATATATTAGCTTGCTTGTACAATTAATGTAACAAGTGTGGGAGGAACAAGAGAACAACTGAAGACAAAAATGAGGAGGGAAGAAGCAAAAGAAAAAGGAACAGCATGCAAAGACAAGTACACAAGAAGCCTGGTTTTCCACTCATATCTATTAAAACCACTGCAGGTTTTAATAGAGAAATGGCATCTTGCTTTTCACAACTATTCAATACTTTTATTTAGTTAAACTTCCAATCAAGTTACTGATACATTTGTTAACTTTAATTCAACCTACAGTCATTTCAAAGCTACATCCTAGATATACAGTACTTAGAATTTTTTAAATTATTCAAGTTACTTTCACACAACCCTAACTAATAAGGCTCCCAAAACAGTACTTTTTGACAAACTTTTAATACGTGTAACTAAAAGCCACACGAATAACACTAAATGACTGCAGATAATTAAACATACCATCACTAGAACTTTACCTAGGATCTACACGCCCAGCAGCTGGCCCTTAACAAGCTTCCTCCAAAATCACTAATCTCTGGAGCCACATTCACGTTTGCCAACGTTATGCGCCGGCAATTACAACCCCGCATGGTTTAGCATATGGAAATGCACGCGACCACCATCACCAGGTCGCTGCAAGCTCGCAGTACTCTCGTTTCCCGAAGACGAGCTCAGCGGCGACCGGAGGAAAAGGGAGCTGAGGGCGCAGGAAAGGATGAAAATTTCTTATCGAGGACAATTTGGCGGGAAAAAAACCCCCACCGGACGGCTTGGTTTCGGAGCCCCCTTCCTTCCCCTTTAAGCTCATTCTCCTCCCATGAGAGGAATGAGTGGCTCCCAATGTCTTCTGCCAACAGGCCTCTCGTTCCCTTTAATAGGCACGATCTGCATCGGGCCTATCTTGGCCTTACCGCAGCCGTGGCCAAACTGTGCATGGTCGGGACTTTTTTGAGCTCAGGAGGCCGCTTCAACTTCAGCCGCCGCCATCATGGATCCGAGCGCAAGCCACCGCCTCTTCCTCTCAGCCCTTCTGGCTCCGCCGCTCTTGCCAACCGTCGTGACCTCTGACCTCTTGCTTTGGCCCGAGGGAAGGGGAAAAAAGGGAGGAAGCGCATGCGTCGTGGCCGCTTCGAAGCCACTCTTTTAAAAAACCGCGTACGGGGAGGGGGGGAAAGGAGCCCGATTCCTGCGCTTCCTCCTCCCCCTGCGCGTGCGCAGAAGGCCGAGCGCGGGAGAGTCGTCACTCGGCCCCGCGAACTAAATACTGTAGTCTCGGGGAAAGTTGTTCCTGCCGTCATCCGCGTGGAGGTCTGCGGCGGGAAAGGCAGCCGGCCGTCGCCGTGATGACGTAAGGAGGGGGGAATTTCTCCCTCTTCGATTCTTTCCCGCGATTGTTTCTCTCCCCACCTTTCTCTTTTTTCCCCCTCTCTTTTTCTTCACGTGCGTCTTTGCGTCAGACGGACGTTCGCGCGGCTGATCTGGTTCCCGCCAGCTGCCCTTTTCCACCAATCGAAAGGGGAGGGGCTCTCCTCCGCTTTGAGGGGGGTCCGGCGAAGGTGGGCTGGCACGCGCCGTGAGGTAGAAAAAGGAGGGGCTGCTCACGGGGAGGGGGCAGAGAGAAGGACCCCCACTCCACCCCCCTGAACGGAAGAGAGGCGACGGCGTTTATTATACAAAGAGAGACTCGAGAAGCGCCTACGAAGGTAAAAGGATTGGGAGGAGTGCAGGCCATCCCTATTGAGTTATCCCGGGGTTCGTGGGGTATCTGTGTGAATTGTCTTTGGGGCAGATCCGAAAGGGGAGTTGGATGAGAGGAATACCTCAAGGGATCCGGGAGAGCTGTTGCTTGCATTGGTGTGGCACGCTGGAGCCTCCACAGCTCGCCCCACTTGTAGCTTCGCGAACGGGGCGAAATCCAACCTCTTTTTTATATTTATTTATAAAAATATAAATTTATTTATTTATACTTTATTGAAAAGACAGTGCCATGTCAGGGTAACAATTACAAATCAAGCAAAACCAAATGAAAATCAATAACAAATCTTAACATGCTTAACAAGCCAATAACTATAACAGTAATATATTTACAGCAATTATAACAATGCAACCAAAAGGGGGGGGGGGAGAGAAAAGAAAATTTAACTAAATTTCTACTTACATTAGCCTATTTACAATTTTTCCATATTATATCCATAATTCTATAGCATCTTTATTTTGCATACTAAAAGTTATTGACATTCGTCAAATTCCCTCTCATTTCTACCTCTTGTCTCTATCCATTCATAAAATTTATGAAATCCAACCTTTTGTGTGGTTTCTTACACCTGGAAACTCTGGACATTCTGCCCCCCCCCAATGCAATACAACCGCAACCCGTGTATTAAAAAAAAAAGCTGCATGTATTCTACCAGTTGGGTTGCTATGAAAGCAGCCAGCGCATCTTCATGGGGTGGGTGGGTTTCCAGAGAGGTGTGATGAAATGGGCTCTCCGCACCCTTTTCAACCATTGGTTACACTGGCCTCAGCTTACGATCACAATCAAGCCCCAATCAAGCCATTAAGTGAGACACTTTCTTAAGTGGACGTTGCCCTGTTTTACGTCCTTTCTTTGCCACGGATGTGAAGGGAATCGCTGCAGTTAGTGTTAAGTGTATCTGACTTCCCCTTTGACTTTGCTTCTCAGAAGGTCGCAAAAGGGGATCACATGACCCCCCTGGGACACTGCGGCCGTCATAAATGTGAACCGTTTGTCAAAGTTGATCCCATGACCATGAGGATGCTGTAACATTTGTGTGAAAAATGGTTGTAAATCACTTTTTTCAGTGCCGTTGTAACTTCAAACAGTCACTAAATGAACTGTGGTAAGTTGACAATTACCTGTAGTCCCTTGACCTCTTACTTCCTCAGGAGCTGTTATCTTTCTTCCCATCACCCCATCTAACTTGGCTATTCCAGGTTGAAATCTAAACTTTAATTTATCTTTCATTTTTTCCAACAAGGGTTCCTTATCCTATACACAAAATGCCTCAAAGGTTGATCACCAGGGTAGTTGCTGACATATTGATTTTGCCATTATATCTGTAGCAGAAACCTGACATGTAGAGTTGAAGCAAGTAATACTGATTTCCTTGGTGTGGAAATGGAGCTGAAGGAAAAGCTGCTTCATATAGATAATACTTGTCTACTGATAAACTGTTTCAAAACTTTTAAAATTGGGCAGCATAGAAAGTGCACATCCTGGCTGCAGGTGTCTTGTGTTCATCTGCTTGCTGCCTTGAAACTTTTGAAGCTGCCTTTCAAGCATTAGCTATACTGTAAACTGTACTGTGAACTGGCTTGCTGGGAAGAAAATGAACACACGGGGAATGAACTGTGTGTTTATCCTAGTTTAGATGAAATGTTATTCTACCAGTCAATATTTGGTTTATACAGGTAGTCCTCGACTTGTGACTATTCTTTCAGTTACCATCCAAAATTACAGTGGTGCTGAAAAAATGAAGGTAAATCCAGTGAGCCTTAGGAGCAACCAGCAGCTTCTAACTGAGTGCTCTAAAACTACCCTTGGAGACCGAGTTTGCAGGTTTTAGCACACTGGAAGCTGCTACCCTTTGCAAAGCTTTGCAGGCTGGGCTGAGCAGAGAGTCTGGGTAGGTTCTGCTACTTATGGACTTGCCTTTACCCTTGCTGAAGCCTGCAGATTGGTTTTCTAGGAGCCTTCCAACAGAAGCTGCAGGCTACACTCTGCCACAAGTGCCTGCATCCCTCTGTTTTCCCTGGTTTTGCCACCACCTCAAACAGTACCTTGATATAAGCTTCATCTTTGACTGGAGTTGCCTTCAACTCTCCTGCCTTACCTAGTGATGCAGAACTCTGTTGCCTCTTTGTTTGGCTGAGCATGGCAAGCTCCTTTGCCACTCAAAACTCCAGACACCCTGCTGTGCTTACCACACACATTACAGGACTCCATCCTTGTTTGCTCTGGATTCCAGACTACAAGCAGGAAGAAGGTGGCAAAGATTGATGGAGGGTGGCAGAAGTAACTGGCAGAGTGCAAAGCAGCCAAAAGGGATTAGGAGATAGGTGAGTTAGGAGAATTGAAGCGAAGATGGCAGGACAGGAGAAGCGTAAGGTCCTCTCCTACTTACAGTGCTGTCCTGGCCTAATGACCGCAATTGAGGCTACTGAAACTGCTGTTGCTAAGAATGCTGCTTTGCCTCACTTAGTAATGGAAATTTTGTATCCTGATTGCCATTGTAAGTCAAGGACTACCTGTGGTAACCTTTGATTTTTGTATTGTTAGTTGACATTTTAAGGGGATTACTCCCTGGTTTTTATTGTAAATGTTCCCAACTACAATAGGTCATTGCGGGTAGGTGGGCTGAAGGAACAAGAAAAATGGTCACAAGAATACCCTAGCATCTGTTGACATCTTTTTAGTATTTGTATCTCTTTGAACCTATACATATCTCAGCAGCTGTGATTAACTACATTACTTGAAAATCCATTTTGCAACTTTTTGTCTTTTGTGACACATTGTTTCCAAAAATGTATATGGAAGGATTCATACTTGTTTTGTAGAAGAGTGTAACTTAAAAATGGAATTTTCTTTTCTTTTAAAATGTACAATAAAAATCTGTTATATTTAAAATGTAGATATATAAAGATTTGTGTATCTGTTTTTTTGTGTACATCTGCACACCACATATTCCTAAATTTCTTTAGAAAATCCGTTACCACTTTCAATCACTTCATGCAATTCAGTTATGCTAACTCATCAAAATTTATCAGATTTATTTCTGTTCTGCTGTATTTTTGATAACTTGTCAACATTTTTATCCAATGTACGTTACCCTGTCCTTTAATATTCTGGAATAGTTTGGGATTCATGGGGCACTGATATCCCAAATGTAATGGAGAATTAATTATATCAATGGTATTTGTTTCATTGGTCAGCAAGCACAGTTGAATTCAAACTGCATTTTGGGCTGGGATAGTAACATTTTAGAAGGTTATTGTACAAACTTCTTGATTTTAAATGTACTGCCAAGTTTTGAAATATATGTAAACAACAGTAATCAACTTTTTAAATTTATTTTTTAAACAGGTGTGTTAAACAGTAGTCTTCATTATTTTCATAAAATATTTATAGAAAAACATGACTCCACTAAAATTACATGGATCTGTTCGCATGAGGAGCATACAAACCGGGACTACAAAATGGAAAGAAGGAACATTTGAAATTGTGGATAAAGAAAGCAAAGTAATTTTGGTAGTTCACTACAATGCTGGAGGAATTCCAAAAATGTTTCCGGTGAGTTGGATTTAGAGGGCCTTTTTTGTTTGAAGTATTTAATTTGAGCTTTTATGAATGACGGTGTCGCAGTGGTTAGAGTAAAGTACTGCAGGCTACTTCTGCTGCCTGCTGGCTGCATACAATTTGGCAGTTCGAATCTCACCATGCTCAAGGTTGACTCAGCCTTCCATCCTTCCGAGGTGAGTAAAACGAGGACCCAAATTGTTGGGGGCAATATGCTAACTCTGTAAATCGCTTAGAGACAGCTATAAAGCACTGTAAAGCAGTATATAAGTCTAAGTCCTATTGCTATTATGACTTGAATTTTCCTCAGAGATTCATGTCACTTTTCCAGAACACTGACATTATTATATTGGGAATTATTGTGTATGTTCAGTGGATTTGTATATTAAAGAAAGTGTTAAATTTGTCAGAAAAAAACATTTTTTTTTGTAAGCATGCATTTTTAAATTAGGACGCTAAGGATAAAGTTATTTGATTACTGCTTAATTTTGTTCTAATTCTAGTATTGAAAGACTGTTTGAAGATTCATTTTTATGGTTCTACTCCTTCATATGCAGCATTTTCATGACAGTTTCAAAATATGTGTGGGATCCTGTCTCACTTCTGGAAATCTCATATTCATGTTTATACTGGAGTAAGCCCTACTAAATGAATAAAATGAGTTAAAGGTTGCATTGACCCTCTGTCTGCCTTTTTGAGCACAATTTCTTTTATTTGTCTCTATAGTTGTTTTATGTTTAGCTGAGAAATATCCAATTTATTTTATAAAAATGTTAACTCTATTGAATTTTAAAAAAAGAGACCTAGAATGGGAATTATGGTTTGAAAGTTGGATAGCAGTTTTAGAATGAAGAATGGTAGCCTCATTTTATATTGTGGTGTCATATAGACTAATATAAATATTTTGCCCTGTTTGTCAGAAAGGCTTTCCCTTGTAATAAGATTGTATAAGATGACATTGTGCTTAGACTATGTGTTTGGATGTGTGAACATAGACAGGCTTTGTTGTAAGCTTTTTTATACATATGTAATTTTATATATGTACATGATCATAAGTGGTTTTCATTTATTTTCTTTCTAGCTGAACCATAATATAAAAAATGTAGTTGTACGACAAAGTAAAGGGAAATTGTGTTGCTTGATGATAACACTGAAGGATTCTAGTGTTTTGACTCTTGATAAAATACCATCGAAAGATGCTAATGAAATGAAGCTGTATCTAGAAGCTATTCAGAACAAGATTCAGACAGGTTAGTAGAAAACACTAATTTTCTTATTTCTTGGAGGGGGATATGTACATGTGTATATATATATGAAATAGTTGGATAGTATAGTGCTGGATGGCGAACCTATGGCACGCGTGCCACAGGTGGCACGCGGAGCCATTTTTCAGGGCACGTGAGGCGTTCAGCCTTTTTTAAAGCCATTTTTCGCCCTCCCCAGGGCTTTATAGGAGCCCGGGGAGGGTGAAAACAGCACACACACACACACACACACACACACACACACACCGAGGCCCTATGGAGGTTTCAGGAGCTTCCTGAAGCCTGCAGAGCGCAAAAAAACAGCCCTATAGGCAAACCGGAAATTTGGGAACGGACTTCCGGTTTGCTCGTAGGGCGGGTTTAAACCCTCTGGAGCCTTCAGGAGGCTTCCCTGAAGGCTCTGGAGGATGAAAAATGATCCAATGAGCAAACCACAAGTCACTTCCGATTTGCTTGTAGGGCCGTTTTTAGTCCTCCAGAGCCTTCAGGGAAGCCTCCTGAGGGCTCCTGAACGCTCCAGAGGACTAAAAGGCCCTACGAGCAAACCGGACTTCCGGTTTCTTCGTAGGATCATTTTTTGTCCTCCGGAGCCTTCAGGGAAGCCTCCTGAGGGCTCCTGAATGCTCTGGAGGCCTAAAATCAGCCCTACAAGCACCCCAGAAGTGCCTTCCGGTTTGCTAATAGGGTTGTTTTTTGCCCTCTGGAGTGGCGGGGGAAGTTGTTTTCGCCCTCCCCAGGCTCCTATAAAGCCCCTGGAGCCTGAGGAGGGCGAAAAAAGCATGCATAAAATGTGCGCTGGGGGGGGGGTTGCACATTGCATTATGAGTACGGCACACCTGCACATGACCCCCCTGTGCACCCCCCCGCTTATGGCATGCAAGCCAAAAAAGGTTCACCATCACTGGTATAGTGGTTATAGCACTGCCTTTGACATGGGAGATGGGGGTTCAAATTCCTGTTAGTGGTCTAAGTGACCTAAGATCCCTGGGCAAAGACTTCTCACAGTTTACTGCTTATCTCAAATATGAAAGTAATGTAGATTAGGAGAGTCATGCCTGCCTGGATGTTGCTTGGATTAACAACAATATCCATGTCAGATATTGAGGAACTAGAACAATCTAACAGTAAGTGGGCTACTGGAACAAATCATGCATGGATGAGACAAGAGTCTAGAACTGATTGACTTGCTACTGTAGCAATAGATTTAATGAGAGCGGATATATGAAATGTGTGAGGAAACTGAATGGACAAAAGATACAAACTGAAAACAGCTAATTACCCAAGGTTTCAACATAGTGAAGAGGAAGCTGTTCTTGCAGCTTAAGATAGACCAACTATATTTGTCATCTCAGACTCAAGAAGAGCTGAGAGAAAAACTCGTCAACATTCAGATGCGTACTGTAGCCAGCACCTAAAGCTGGAATATCACTACCATTCCATCAATTGTTGAGGATAGCAGTTGATACAAGCTACAAGAGCTTGTAAATCAGCTACAGTCAATTCTTGAGACTAGTTAGCAAGGATCGATAGAGACATACCATCATATAGTGTGCTAGGAGATGATACTAGAGCCCCCAGGATAATCCCTACTATCCCTTTAACTCAATGAACTGGTATATGTTACAGTTGCTATAACCCTGGACATTTTTTGCTACATAAGAATAATTGTGGCACATACCCCTACCACCCTACACCACTGTGAAATGAGGTTTAGAGGTTAAGTACAAGAAAACTAGAGGTAGGTTAGCTGGTGTTATGGAATTACATAAAGGTATGAAGATTAAGAATAAGATTCAGTTATTGAAAGAATACGATGGCCTGACATCATCTGGAACCCTACAGATTTATTTATTTACTGAATTTATATTGCCGCCTATTCACACATGGTGACTCAAGGTGGCTTACAGAATATAAAAACTCATTTAAAACAATAAAACTAATAAAAAAGAATCAAATAAATTAATATAATAAAATCACCCCCCCCCCTCAGTGGCAGAAAATCACATGAGCCATTTAATGGACTCCATCCCACTCTGGGTTCCCCCGGTCCGCTGTCATAACCAGGTCTTCAGCGCCTTTCGGAAGAGTGTTAGAATGGAGGCCATTCTAATCTCTGGGAGAATGATGTTCCAGAGAGAGGGAGCCACCACAGAGAAGGCCCTTCTTCTGGGTCCCACCAGGTGTATCTCCCTCAGGGATGGGACCCGCAACATTCCCTGCCTCCCGCTCTGATGGGTCGGATAGATGTGACCAGCAAGAGATGGTCCCTCAGATAACCTGAGGGCTTTAAAGGTGACAACCAGCACCTTGAATTGTACCCGGAAGCAAATTGGCAGCTAATGCAGCTTCTACAAGAGAGGTGATATGTGCAGTCCGGCATCTGCACAAAACCATATGGGCCACTGCATTTTGCACCAACTGGAGCTTCCGGATGCTGTCCAAGGGCATGTAGAGCATGTTGCAACAGTCAAGTAGGAAAGTGACTAGGGCATGAGTGACCGTTAGTAGGGATTGTTGGTCTAGGAATGGGCGTAACTGGCACACAACTCTCTGCTGCGCAAAGGCCCTCCTGACCTTGACTGCCACTTTCTCTTCGAGCAGGAGTTGTGAGTCCAGGAGAATCCCTAGATTACACACAAGGTCTGTTTGGAATAGTGCCACTCCATCCAAGACCAAAGGGGGCAGTTCACTCTAAGCCAACAAACCTCAAACCCAGTTTTGCACTCACTCAGTTTTGCAAGGATTTAGTTACAACTCGTTGCTTCCCATCCAGCCCCTAACAGCCACCAGGCACTGCGAGAGGGAGGACACAGCATCACTTAATTGCTAAACAGAAGCCCTCAGCATTGCCTGCCAGGCTAAGGAGATACACTAGAGAAGGTGTACTCCCAACTGTAGTGCAAAAAGTAACAGTGGAAAAAACAACAGCAGAAACTGAACAGTTTGGAGGAACATATGGGAGAAAGGGAAGAGAAGATGCATATTTCCCATAGGGGTGAGAAGAGAATTTTAATTTTAAAACTTATAAAGCTGATCTTGAATAATATCGTTTTTTGTGAGCAGCATCAATATATGTTTTTCTCAATGATTCTAGTGTTACGGGAAAAGAAGTATAGTAAATATATATAAATGAAGTGTGCAAAATTTATATGGAACTATGATTTGTTTTTAGGTGTGAAATTATCTCATGGATCTGGCAGTTTTGGAGGAGTTTTAAGCAATAGAGCCATGCAGAAGGATTCCAACAGACAGCTACCTTCCCTTGAAGGCCAGGTATATTTTCTTCCTTTTCTTTTTAATCCTGTTTTTTGTGTATTATTATTATTATTATTATTATTATTATTATTATTATTATTATTATTATTATTATNGAGATGTCCCAGGACTTTCTTTCCAATCTCAAGAAAGCCCTCCCTGATGATGATTGGTTCCAGCAGCACGTGAATGAATGTACTATGAGGGATGACTTGCCCTGGATTGGGGCAAAACTTTACATTCCTGCGTCTCTTTGACTAATTGACTGGGAGAAACCCCTGTTGTAATGGGGAACATAGGGAGCAGGGGCGAATCCGGAGTCCCCGGCCCAAAAGGGCTGTCGTCTCTGATAAGGTTGCTGTCTCCTAGTGGCACAGCCACTGGTGGAAGGGAGAACCTTACGCTTATCCCTGGTCTGAATGAGGATAGGATCTAGAACCAACCCAAACAAAGCTCTGCCCTTGAAGGGCGTGGATGCAAAGCGCGATTTGGACTTGACATCAGCTTGCCAATGGCGTAGCCACAGCAAGCACCAGGATGCTACGTTAGAGATTACGGCTCGAGAGGCGAATTTTGCTGCACAGAGAGTAGCATACGCAGAAAATTCCAAGGCTGCCATCAATTTGGTAATGTCTTGGTGAAGGCGCATTTCCTCTGGGGCAAGCCCACTCTGCAATTGCTTAAGCCAGACCAAGGAAGTCCTATTAAAGAAGGATGCTGCTGTAGCCGAGCGTAAGGCCCAGGCCGCAGCCTGATGGATCTTGCGAATGACTGTCTCGGCCGTACGATCCTCAGCCTTCAAACCCTCCGAAATTTCTGATGGAATTAATGCTGGAGAGGCGAGGGCAGCAATGGGAGTGGGAAACTGGAGAAGACCTTCCAATTCCGGGGTAGAAGTGTACACTTTCCTATCCCCATTGCTGGGTGGGTTAACCGCGGTCGGTTGATCCCACTGCTTCTGAATCAGATCCAGAAAGAGCTTGGGCGAGGAAATAACATCCTGCAAGGCCACTTGCTCAGCAAAGAGGCGCTCAGTTGCATCCAATCCCACAGCTGTGCTATCCTTAGAGGCCGCCTCCCCCATGTGGGTGCTGGTCTTAGCCTTATACAGCAATGACATAAAGAGAGAGTGGCGGAACAAACCCGGTGCAGTAGGTTGATCCAGTGGAAGCCCTTCATCATCGGAAAATTCCCTATCTATGACCTCACCTTCCTCCACTAAGACCAACTCCTCACTATAGACTGGCGAAGGTGGCTCTGTTAGAGGAATAGACGAATCCCCTTGCACTGTCTGGGGATCAAGGCCAGTCCGGGTCACAGTGGCCCTGGGAGCCTGGACTCTACGAAGTAGTTCCGCATCCACCCCCTTAGAAATAGCAGTAGAAATCATTTGGTACAAATTAGAGGGGAGGCCCAAATCCTGGCCTTCCAGTGGTCTGAGGCCTGCAGCAGTAGGAGTGAAAGTAGCAGAAGGCCCTGCACATGGGGGCGAGTGGGCCGAAGCCATACTTAGATCAGAAATGGGAGGGGGAGGGGGCCCACCCCCCCCTCTGCTGCCATAGGAACCCGGGGCATCTGAATATCAGGGGACCAACCCTGCTCTGTAGGGCGTGCTGGGGAAGCCCGTTGCGGAATCAGAACCGGGGGTGAGGTGCTGGGTGTCCCAGAGGCTTTAGCTGGTGCCTTGGATTTATCCTTGTGCTTATGGGATTTGTCCCTAATGGCGGATGAGGCCCAAGGCCTATGACTAGTGGCCCTAGTAGTGGCCCTGCTGGGCTTTGGGCTAGCCCCCCCCCTCCTCGCCAGGGGAACGGGGCTCACAAGAGGGCTCCACAGTACCTTTGGACACAAATTGATCAGCCGTTGTAATGATAGAAAGAGATTTGGAAAGGCTCAACCTCCTTTAATGAGTAAAAGCCACAAATTTCTCCTCTGCACAAAGCGCCACATGAAAGCAGTAGCTGATTTGGAACGAATCAGCTACTGCTGGGGGGTCTGGGGGGTCAAAATTTATACCCCTCAGACAGGGTCCGCAACTTGGGAGTCCTCCTGGACCCACAGCTGACTTTTGACCATCATTTGTCAGCTGTGACCAGGGGGGCATTTGCCCAGGTTCGCCTGGTACGCCAGTTGCGGCCCTACCTGAACCGGGAGGCTCTCACAACAGTCACTCGAGCCCTTGTGATCTCTAGGCTGGAATACTGCAATGTGCTCCACATGGGGCTGCCCTTGAAGAGCATCCGGCGACTTCAGCTAGTCCAGAACGCAGCCGCGCGAGTGATTGTGGGCGCACCGCGGTTCACCCACATAACACCGATCCTCCGTGAGCTGCGCTGGCTACCTGTAGATCTCCGGGTGCGCTTCAAGGTGCTACTCACCATTCATAAAGCCCTTCATGGTAGTGGATCTGACTATTTGAGAGACCGCCTCCTGCCAATTACCTCCCTTCGTCCCATCAGATCGCATAGAGTGGGCCTCCTCCGAATTCCATCCGCCAGTCAGTGCCGACTGGCGACTACGCAGAGGAGAGCCTTCTCGGTTGCAGCTCCGACGCTTTGGAACGATCTCCCCGTGGAGATTCGCACCCTCACCACCGTCCAGACCTTCCGCACAGCCCTCAAGATCTGGTTATCCCGTCAGGCCTGGGGATAAGTCCCTAATTTTGCCCCGCCCGAATGTCGAATGAATGTTGTGTTTTATTGGTTATTTTCTTTTATTCACATTTTTTTTACTTTTTGTGTCCTGTCTCACACACCCCCTCCTATGAAATGTAAGCCGCCCTGAGTCCCTTAGGGAAAAGGGCGGCCTATAAATGTCAATAAAATGACTAAAAAAAAAAAATGACTCCTCAGTGACTCAGCTAGCCGCAAGTGAGGGAAAAAGGAGGGCCGTCAGGGTGGCGCCGATGCCTGGGCGCGAAATCACGCGACCCGCCTCCTCCGGCCGATTCTGGCACATGCGCAGAACCTGATCCAAAATGGCGGCTGCCCTGGAGGGTGCAAATATTTAAACCGCCAAGCCCAGGGATTCTGCAAACCGCTGGCTCCGCGGCGAAAACGCCGCTGCTGCGACCAAGGAAACTCCACGAGGCAATGGCAATGCCTGGGTTGAACCGTGCCGCGCAGGTGGGTCGCTTCCGGCTCGCAACGGCGCAGGACGGCGCACCAGCCCAGGACGCGCCAAACACAAGACGAGGGAAACAAACGCCAATCTCCGCAATTGGAAGCGCCGCTGCTGTCCCAGCACGTGAGCCTGCGGACCTCGCAGCTTCCGATCCCAGGCAAGAGAAATGACGGCGGTGAGGGTCTGGGCTGGCAGCGAACTGCTGCCTCCACCTCTGAGCAAATATACCAATTTAAGGTCGTAATCTGTGCTGCTGAATCCAAGTAAAAGGTGAAATTTGTCGATTAGTCTAGAGAGAAAATTGAGATGCGTCTCATTAGGCTGGACTGAGTAAAAAAACTGATCCGGTCCAGTCAGAGGAGGCGTGGTCAAGATTTGCATACTCTAGGCTAATGGACAAAGTTAACCCATGATTGGATTCCCCAAGCAGCACACAGAATAATAAAACATCAGGTCCACATGGCATCCCTGTAGAATTTTACAAAGAAATACAAATACCATTGGAAAGCTTACTTTTGAATATATACAATGAAGCAGGCAAAATTACCAAAGACTTGGATGGAGGCATTGATAGCACTCATTCCAAAGGAGGGTGCAAATACGCAACAAATTAAGAATTATAGGCCAATTTCACTACTTAATGTGGACTACAAAATATTTGTGATGATAATGGCAGGAAGAGCCAAAAAATATTAAATGAAATCGTTTATTCGGACCAGAATGGATTCTTGCCCAATAGAAACAACACATGGATGATTATGAATTCATTAGAATACTATGAGGCACATCCTGAAAAGCAGTTGGCTTTTGTAGATGCCCAAAAAGCATTTGATAATTTAAATTGGAACTATCTTATAAATCAATTAACAAATATGAATTTCGGGGAGAAATTTACGGGTATGATTAAAGTGATGTATTCGAAGCAACTGGAAAAAATAATTGTAAATGGGGAAACAATGGAGATTATAACTAAAGGGGTAATATTATTGACACAAATTAGTCAAAATCGAACAATAAAGGGGGGCTGAAAATTAAAAAGGAAGAATATAAAGTCCAAGCTTTCGTGAATGATCTGGCTTTTATTATAGAAGACTGCTTTGCTGTTGCTTCAGCTGCCATGGAACGGGGAGGGAGGGCATGGTATTTGGGTGGGGTTACTCGATGTGCTGGAGGAATGTTCTGGAGTTCTCTGGATGGTCGAACTACGCATGCGTGGGTGTTTCCCACCTGGACTAACGGCACCGACATTCCATCTTCGTGATGCCTTTTGAAGTTATCTCACACCTGACACTTGAAGGACTTATGATTGGACTAGGCCTATGATGCCAGGGGGTGTGGAATGGGCTATTCTATATATCAACTGCTTTCGCGCCTAATTAATCAGACTTTGCTATGCAACCGCTCTTTAACCATTTTTAATTAGTAAAAGTACATTTGATTTTCCACGTATGGAGTCTCATGGTCTTTCTTTCCTAATTATTAAATGGAGAGGTGCTGACAATCCCCTGGAGATGGAAACCATCCTGGTGAATGTAATTGAGGAATTTTTTTAAGTGGTCAGGCTTAAAATAAATAAAGAAAAAAATGTTGACCAAGAACCTTACAAAAAAGCAAAATAAAGAACTGGAAGAGAAATTGAGAATTCAAATTGTGAAAAAAAATGAAGTACTTAGGAATATGGCTAACAGCAAAATGTTCAACAATAAAACAGGATAATTATGATAAATTGATGCAACAGATACAAAAAGATTTAGACAATTGGGCAAAACTATAAATATCTCTAATTGGTAGAATCGCCGCAATAAAAATGAAAATACTACCCAAATTCTTATACCTATTCCAAACAATACAAATAAGGATGGGGAAAACATTTTTTGAACAATTAAATAAAATAATAGGCAAATTTATCTGGTTAGATAAAAAGCCCGAATAAAACTTAAACTTTTACAGGACTCTAGAGCCAAAGGAGGATTTGGCCTCCCTGATTGGGAATTATACTACCAAGCAGCAGAAGTAACATGGCTTAAAGATTGGATGCAATTAGAAAACAAAAGGGTATTAACACTAGAGGGACACAATCTTCAGCTGGGAGGGCAGGCTCTGTGGGAACGAAAAAATAAAAGTCATACTTATTTCCAGAGACATCTAGTGCAAAATGCTTCAATAAGCATTTGGGATAGAATTAAGAAGAATCATTATATGAAAGTTCCAATTTGGATATCAACAATGGAAGCAATGATTTATCCAAATTTACTAGACACCAACAAAGTGGCAGATATTTGAAACTATTGGATGAACAAGGAAATTTGAAATCGGAACAAGTCTTAAAAAATCAAGGAATAAAAATTGACTGGTGGCCATACTTGCAAATTAGAATAAAATAGAAAAAGGATAGGGAACAATATGGCATTTGTAGAGAACAATTGGAACTTGATAAAATATTATTAGGACCAAGGAAGAAAATGATTACTAAGGTATATAATTTTTTACTAAGATTCAAATTGGAAGAAGAAAATGTGAAAGAAACAATGATAATCTGGGCGAGAAATTTTGGGCACAGTATCCAATTGAACCAGTGAGATAAATTATGGGAGAGAAACTACAAACTAACGATGTCAGCTGCTTACAAGGAGAACCTCTACAAAATGTTCTACCGGTGGCATCTATCACCAGCCAGAATGGCTAAGATGTTTCCAAACAGATTGCCTAAGTGTTAGAGGTGTGGGTACAAACAGGGAACGTTCTACCACATGTGGTGGACTTGCCCCAAGGTTGGAAAATACTGGTGTAAAATAAGGAAGTGGCTGGAAGAGATAACTGAGCAAAGGACAGAGCTGAAGCCGGAATTGTTTCTCCTGGGAATCTTTGATGGAAAAATAGAGAAAAAATTATATAATACTACATATATTAACTGCAAATAGAATTATACTAGTACAGAACTGGAAACAAACAGATACTTCTCCAGAACCGATTATAAGAATGTGCAGAAATGTATAGACTCTCTGTGGAAATGAAGGAGAGGGAAGAAACCACGTACTATCAAATTTGGAATAGATGGTATTCCTGGCTTGAGAGTAAACATAAAACTTAAGGCATAAAGGATAAATGTATAAATGTATAGAGTATTTAAATAAGGATATAACTTAGGATAATGATATAGATATAGAATTTTTTTGTAAATAGGATTGTTACAAAAAATATGGATATCGATATGTTACAAGTGTAAATTTGTGTTTTGAGTTTTGTCTTTTAAATGTTTGAAAATTTAATAAATATTATTTTTTAAAAAACCTGGCATTTCTTTTATACATTCATTATTATTGACACTTTCAGTATATTTGCATTAAAATATTTTCCAAAAGCTAGTTCAAAAGAAAATACAAGAACATATTATCAAAATCATCTCAGATATGGCACAGCAGCAGAAAAATTTATCATAATTGCCTTCAGTACAGATTCCGTTATACATTTTTTTTAACAAAAACTGAAATTTCTAAATGTTGTGTTATGTTATATAAAAGCTCTACCAAGAAAACCTTCAATCATGCTTTCCTAGATACTGATGTAAGCAACATCATAAAGAAACAAAGAGACTGATACAGCAAAGCTAATGATAATATAGAGAATGGATGCCCGACATGTTTTAAAATTCTAGGTTGATCTTTGTTTGATGCATGTCTCTGATCTGAGAGATGAATCATTATTCAACTAGTCTATACCATCTTCCCAGAATTATGTAGATGATCAGCATTCACTAGACAGAGAAGACAGGTTTTATTTCCCTTCACCCCTCTCCTAATTAAAATAAAAAAATATAAAAATGTGATTTGGATTTTGTTTCCTAAAGTCCAGAAATACAGAACGTAACAAATGTTGAGAAAACCTTGCAAATATAAGGTGTAGTTGTGCAACCATGCAATTTGGAAAAGTTGTAATGAGAAATTGTCTTTTGAAGCAATGCAACTAAATCTGTAGGAATGGAAAGTTTTCCTTTGAGGAATGGGAAAGTAAAAATAAGGATGATAAGGAAAGACAGCAATCACACTGTCTTTCCTTACCATTCTTAATTTTACTTTCCCATTCACAAACCAATTGTGAAAATGTGAAACAAAATCAGTGAAGTTAGAACAAGCTAGTTAGATATTTGCATAGAAACCCAAGTATCAGATTATATTTTTGACTTCTTTCTCAAAGAAGAGATGCTTTGAGAAAAAGCATCTTAGCTTCCTTCTTAGATATTAGGTAGACAAATAAACTTCTATTCTTGAGCAATAGTTTCACATTTTAATAGAAACAAAAAAGAATGAAAAATAGTTAAAGGAAAATATTTATTTTGTCTAATCTGGTTTATTTGTATATAACAAATCACGTGATAGCTATATTCTGCTGCAATGTACACTTACAATTGACTAAAACAGTTAAAAAAACAAGATTGCCTGCTCAAACTTTTGAGAACTGAAGTTATAATTTCAAAACATCTTATTCTCAAATAATTTGCTCAAGAATTTCTTCCTTTCAGACGCCTTTTTCTGCCTGCTCTTCAGTCACTGAGCTGAAGAGCAGCTCAGGTAAGACACAAGGTAAGACACTCAAGTAAGTTAAGACACAAGGTAAGACACAAGATGAGAAACTAAGGAATTGTCTTGGGTGCAATTATAGAAATCTGGTCCTTAGAAAGGCTGAAATAGTGAAGTTAAAAGTGTAAGATGAAGCTCTTTCATTTAAACAGCCATGATTCACCACGTTTTATTAATTCTGATATGTTCCTGCATAATGTTTTCAGTTTTTATAATTTATACCAATCTGATTTTATTTTTAATCATTAGCTCCCTTGATAATGTCAGCAGAATAATAAATTTATACAATAATTATGTGAAAAAGCTTGATAGCATGGTTTTAGTCTGCCTTCTACTGGAGACTTTTAAAAAACTAGAACATGGACCTGTTTTTATTTGCTACTGTACTGTATTCAGAAGCAGAGTCTCAATTTTATATACCTGCAATCTAAAATTTAATTTAATATTTAATAAATATTTATTAACACTTGTGTATTCCTGTCTTATGATAACTTATGCATTGTAGGAAACATGAAATATATTTCTTGTTCTTCCATTTTTTAAATGGTAAAATTATACTCTCGGCTGCTATTATAAAAATGAGATTTATTTATTCAGATTACCACTTACTAGTAAGATAAGGAAGTTGTATCCCTTTCACAGGGTTATTAGTAACTTATAATAGAATTTTAGTAATTAAAATAAAGAATTAAATATTTCTTTCTCCCTTAGTTTTAACTTTTATGAAATTGAAAGAGAACATAAAACATTTGCACAGGTAGCAAATGGTGCCAGATATACGACACAACTAAAACAACTACATAGCTACCTCAATTGATAGTGTGTTTCTGGGTATAGTTCAAAGTATGGTTGTCCCCTTTAAAGCCTTATATGCCTTGGGACTGGGGTTACTTGTGGGATTGTCTTTTTCCAAGAGTCTCTACCCATCCAATTCAATCTAGATTGGATGTGTTGCCAAAGACGTTCGAATGGCAGGAACTAGGACATCATCTGCTGTAACCCCTGCTTTGTGGAACATTCTCCACTTGGAAATAAATATGACCTCCACCCTGTTAGCCTTTTGCAAGGCTCAAAAAACTTAACTAGTACTCAGGCCTGCAATGCTCAATTTCTGGCTTATATTGTTAATTGGTTAATTATCTTGGCTACTGTATTTATTTTCTTGATTACTATTCTATAATTTTAATTGTTTTAACTGTTTTAGAATTGTTAAGCCACTCACTTGGTCAATGTGAGAGCTATAGAAACTGAATGAATGGTCAATAAATTAAAATTTCTTGCAGGCTGCAAAATAATATCAGGCATGTATAACAGCTATTTTGCAGTTAGCAAAGTGGCAGCAGCACTGGAGATGGCAGTGTTAGCAGCGACACTTTGAGAAAGTGTACTTTCCACCTTTTGGTGGCAGTAGTACATTTATTACTTTTTAAAAAAATGCTGGTGGGTTGCACAGGCTTCTCAGCAGGCACATTGCCTCCTATATGTCATGCAGGTGTGAACTATATTTAAATGCATGGATTTAAGACAAACAATTCTAGTAGAATCTTATTTTAATTGCAGCATGAGGTTCTTGTTCTTTTCAAAACTTTGAAAATGGAGTAAATTGGTTAAATTAATGTAATTATTTTTATTTATCCATGTTTGTAGCTTAAGCTTTCTTCAGACATCCCAAGAAAAGTAGGTTGCACGGGATCATCTTTCTATATACAGAGGCACGTGCAATGAGGTAGGATAAAGGCAAGTTGCAGGGGACAACTGAACTTTCAGCATCTCAAAAAACAATATAATTAGATAAGCCAGAAGTAAAATATCAAAATGTCAAGTGTACATCCCCAATGAATACCTTACAAGCTAGGTTTTGAATGATTCAATAAAAATATGCTGATTTATTTTACCTTATTCTGGAAGAACATACTGATTTTTGAGATTGTTTGTATATTATAGGAACTTAATATAAGAAACCATGATTGGTTTGCTGAAATCTCAGCATCAAAATCAGTGTTAAAAGAAGGTGCCTTAGCTTCAAAAACATCCATTAGTTATAGCGAAATATAAAATATCTAAGTATAATTTTCAAACTATCTTATGCAGTTTATTTTCCACTTACAATTTACAATGCTTTAAAGAAAACGTATTGGTAACTAAAAGCAAATCCAAAATACAAACCAATATAATATAGAAATTCTATTTACTCTTATAGTTTATATCAGACCAATGCTTGTGCCAGTTTGTTTAGATCAATCATTTAGTATTTATTTATAGGAGGGAATTTTTGGTGTAAGTAAATTAGTACATAAATTGAATTTCACTAAAATCTAATTATGTTAATTTAATGTTGTAGTAGCTTGCCACTTTCTCAACAAGTCTGATATAACCAAAATTCAATTGAGAAAATATATATTTTGGAGTATTAATAGGAAAGGAAGTTATCAACCATTCCAATACAGTGAGGTACATCAGCTGAACTAGAAGTTTAGTATGCTTATTGCAAATTACTCTAAGTTATAACAAGCAATGTTTCTTTTCTAATACGTTATTGCTGTGGATAATATGGCTGTTGTGGATAAGGGTATCCAGGTTGCTGTGGTGGACCTGGATAAGAAGCTTGTCCAGGATTTTGGTACGCAGGTGATGGTGTATATGGAAGATTGTATTGGCCATATATATAAGGATTATAGGTCAATGGCAAAGGCATTTGACAATATCTGTGAAAACAAAAAAAAATGGTATTTTATTAGAATGAAGAATCCCAAAAATCTTAGACGATGCAGAAATAATCTTCATTTCATAAAGCTATTAAACTAAACACTGAACAATCTACACATGAAAGTATCTAATCTAATCATCATGTGAGAAATAGTAATTCAATCTCTATTACCAAGTTTAGCAATGAAAGAAGATCGTAATAACTGTCTTACTTTAATCAAAACAATATGCAAATGGGCAAAATATAATTTCAGCATTTTCATATGGATTTTTTACAAATACAAGTAGGTTTGACTTATAACCATAGTGGAGTCTGCCAATTACAGTTATGATAGCTGATTGCAGATCATCGAATGCCAACCCTTTTTTCTTTTTTTTGCATCAGTCATTAAGCAAATTCATTGTTTGCCATGGATATTTATTTATTTTTTGCCAAAAACTGAACACAACATAGTCAAGTGATAGCAGGACACTGAAAACAGACATAAATACAAAACAGCTGAGCAGCCAAAACACCGTCACATGATTAGTGGATAGAGGGAACGCCATTAGAACTTTAGAACTGGGTCAAAAGTATCTTTTGTAACTTCAACCAGTCACTAAGGATAATTGAGAATACCTGTACTACTTTATTTCTGGCTTAAATCAGCCCTTATACAAGACATTTGTATGTTTCTAAGCCAAACATGCAGTCACATGAGATCTCCATGCTATATTCTGAATCAGTCTCACTTTTTAAAACAATATACTGTATTTTTCAGAGTATAAAACGCACCAAGATTTTGAAGAGGCAAATTTAAAAAAAATTTTTTTGCACTCTGCAGACCACCCGAAAACCACCTGTTTTTTGTGAAAATGCCCCCACTTCCCCCCCCCCCAAAAAGGGCACAAATAGCCTTTAGGAGGCTTGTAAAGTGCTCCTGAGGGGTGTGGTCAAAAATGAGCAAAAAACCACCTGTTTTTTGTGAAAATGGGCCCATTTTTTTGCAAAAAAGGGGGGGGGCATGCATATCCTTTAGGAGGCTTATAGAGTGCTCCTGGGGGCTGGGGGAGAATTGAGCAAAAAATGGTCCTTTTTTGCTCATTTCTGCCCTCTCCAGCCCCCAGGAGCACTCTGAAGGCCTCGTAAATGCTATGCATGGTCATTTTGGTGAAGGGTGCGGGATTTTGGGAGGCAAAAAATGCTGTATTCAGTGTACAAGACACACCCAGATTTTCAGCCCGTTTTTTGAGGGGAAATTTTTCTTATAGTCCGAAAAATACGGTAGATAGTGAGAGTTCCCTCTCATACATCATGGAAAATAAAAAGATATTATTAGCCTGTTATTTATAATTGATAACTTACATAAACATTTATGTATTTTTTTTAAATATAAAAAATCATCTAAGGTGAATAGCAGATTGAATTGGTGAATTGATAGTCACAAATTTCTGAACCATATGATCACCTCACTCAATGACAGTTGTTAAGTGAATCTGTTTTTTTCATTGACTTTGTTTTCAGAAGGTCATAAAAAAGGATCACGTAACCCTGGCACATTGCAATTATCATTAATATGAGTCATGCCATGCACCCAAATCTTGATCATGTGAAAATCAGGCATAAGTCACTTTTTTCAGTGCTGTTGTAACTTTGAATGGTCATTAAACAAATTGTTTTAAATCAAGGACTACTTGTACTGTATTATTTTTAAGAAATGCTTATTAATCAGCATATTGTGCTATAGGTTCCATTTATTTTCCTCAAAACATTTTTTCTCTTCTTATATTTTCCCAAAAGACCAGGTCCCACTTTTATTTTTTGGATCAGCTAAGCATTGTTCCACTGGTTACCACAGGAATTAACCAACTTATTTGTTTCTCAAGCCTGATGTTGTGAGCTGGGAAAGAGTCCCTTTGATAGAACTCACAGTGGTTTGGTGCCTTAACACTAAACTAAACTGGCTCTCTCTTCCAAACTAATATTGGAACTAAAACTATTTAATACATAAATATATTATGTTCAATATTAGTGGCACTAAGTTTAGAAGTATCTTAACTGTATATGTTAGAACTCCCAAGTAGACAAATAGGAAATAGGCCGAAGTGAGCTAATTCTGCTTTACTGTAAGGCTATATTAACAGAGTTTTGCAAGTCTGAAGATACACATTTCCCACTGCCATTTTTAACCATCTGATCAATTAGGGCAAAAGTTTCTTCCACTGATTTGTTAATTTATTGGGGTCTCCTCCATCTCTTGTCTGATTGTTTCCTAGGCGGCTTATCTTCCCTTTGTTCCCCAAGGTCATTCACACATCGCATTACGATGACATTAATTAGTTCACATCTTTGCAAACTTACGCAGGATATCCTGGATAGGTTGGATAAGGTGGCCCCTGGGCCTGTGAAGGTGTTAGATTAGCTGCAGAACCCACAGGAGCAGATGATATCCCAGTGGTTGCTGAACCAGGAGCAGTCACTACAGGTGCTATAGAAATTGCTGGTGGAGGAGGGCGTGCTGGTGGCTGAGGTTTACTAGACTAAACAACAAAATTATATAATCTAAGTTAGAACTACAGTTATATTCTTTATATTTTATATTTATGGCAATCATAGTCATGAAAGGCTGACTAAAAACACAAATAGCATTATATAATTGCCACACAATAAGAAAAATTTATTTAAATTGTTTCCTTTTAAATATCCAAAAGGACTTTGGGAGGTCACATCAGGATGGAGTGGTGCAAAGGAATGGCAGCTCCATTCCTATTGCCCGATTTTTCCTACTTGAGACCTTAAAAAGGCAACATTAATCCCAGAGGGATCAACAAGAGAGAAAGGAAACTCTGAGGATGTCGAGGAGAAAGGCGATCTCCCAAACTGACATGAGAACCCCCTTGAAACCGACAGGAAAGAAACTGGCCATTTTGCTGGATTTGGAGCCGTGACAGCTGCAGATGAGGAAGACAATATTGAAATATAACGCGACGAGATCAGGGAAAGAAGATACATCGAACTACGGTAAAAGATTTACTTTTTAAAAGTGTTAGCTGTGAAATTGAGACTCTAAAGAGTCAGGCAGGATTTCCGCCCAAAGTTAGCAGTGGTAAGGAGATCGGAGCATTTAACAATATCCTCTAACTGTTCACAGTTTTGGGAGGAGAAGACAGAAGAGAAAGGAAAATAACTCCAGATTTATAGTTATAGTTAAAATGATACTAAAGACTAAATATTACTTACATTGGCAACAGAGTTGGACTGGGGGGGAAAAAACCTTTGTAAACTGTAGAACTTAACAAACTTTATAAACTGGAAAATAAAACTTTTGAAACTTCAAGCTTCAAAGAGAACAAGAGTGCCATCTAGAGATTTGAGGAGATATAAACTGAATAAAATAAAGTGACTAAAGTAAAGTGACTAATGCAATATCCATAATAATTACAATACACAAGAAAATATTCTAGGAGATTTGGAAGTCTGAAACAAGAAAGAGAAAAAAGAAGAAGAAAACTTCGCACCCTCACCACCGTCCAGACCTTCCGCACAGCCCTTAAGATCTGGCTATCCCGTCAGGCCTGGGGATAAAGATTTTAATCCGCCCCACCCGAATGTTGAATGAAAGTTGTGTTTTATTGTTTATTTTTTTATTCACGTACTGTCTTGTTTTGTCTTGCACACCCCCTCCCATGAATTGTAAGCCGCCCTGAGTCCCCTCAGGGAAAAGGGCGGCCTATAAATAATAAATAAAATCTAAAAAAAATCTAAACTTATTGGAACATATTTGGGAAAGTATAAAATAGACATTTAATGAACTCTTAAAGATGACTTGTTTGTCAATTAAAAAAAAAGATTGATTATGAACATTGAATGCAGAAATAGATACATAAATGTGTTGAACTGAATTGCTGATAAATTTAAAAATTGAAAGACTACTTTACTGATTATAGAGAATAGAAATAAGTGAAAATATGTATTTAACGTATAGGTGATTAAGCTATTTAATTAATTTACATACTTATCTATAGCTATATCTTAATTTGTATATATCTATTTATATCTATATATAGCTGATATATATTTCCATATCTATATATAAATATACAAACTGATAACAAACTGATAACAAACTATAAAGACATTACAACTATATGAATTTAACTAACTTAATTAATTTACTATTAATTTATATAGCTACCTGGATATTTAAGGTATTATTACTATTACAGTGAATTAACTGATAAATAATTAAATATAACCTGAACTGGAAAGTGGGAGAAATATAATAGAAGAAGTGGAAGGGAAGATTTAAAAGAAAAATTTGAAAAACCTGAATTATTATATGCTATTTTAGAAAAAAATTGTATGTGCAGTGAAGATGACAAGAACAATAACTATCACTAAAATAAATAAGAAAGCATCATCAAACCCTGCAGCGTCATTGCTTTCAAACCAATGCTAAATAGAGAACATGTTAGATACAGAGAAAACAAGCTCAACATTAAATTTACAGAGTATGCAAGAGACATTACTCATGATACAAGAAACAATGAAATGAAAGGAGATATTAGAAGAATGGATGACAAAATAAGAAATATTCAGAAAGAAATTATTAAGAATGAACAAAAAATACAAACAGTAGAAACGAAAGTGGAACAACAGAAAGGAAAATAGAATAGAAATTGACTCTGGCCAATACAGACTTAGAGAAAACTATTGTCTTCCTACAGATGGAAAAAGCAGCATTTTTTTAAAGATTCCAAAATATAGTGGAAGATAAGGAGGAAGACTTGGGAGAAATTATGGCAGAAATATTAGCAGGCACACTAAAAACAAAACAGGATGCGGAGAGACATTGATGAAGTGTACTGAATTCACATGAACTATGCAAGGAGACATAGACTGTCAAGAAAAGTACACGTGAGGTTTGCAAAAAAAATCAATAAGAAATGAAGTGTACAAAAAAGCAAGGGAGAAACCTATGATATACAAAGGAAGAGAAGTACAAACCTTGAGACAAACACCTAGGAGAGTGAGGGACCAGAGAAGGCATTACCAATTCCTAACCACAAAGCTAATAAGGTACAACGTGATATTTAGATGGCTTATTCTGGAGGGAATTATGATTACCTGGCAGGAGAAGAAATTCAAAGTTACATGAGTTCTTTGAACGTCACTTTACAACTGAGGAAGAACAAGAGAGTAGGGAGGAAAGAAGAACAGCAATTAGAGGACAAGAAGGCGGAACAAGAAGAACGAAGCATGAAAGAGAACGAACAAGAGCAGAGATACAGAGAGAGACAAGACGAGAAAACTGAGAACTGTATATACTGTATATATGGAAGCATTAATCTATTCAAATGTATTAGACATAAACAAAATAGTAAGATATGAAGACCTATTAGATAACTAGGAGAAATTAAAAATGAAACAACAACTTAAAAAACCAGGGAATGGACATCAATGCAGAATGGCCATATATGCAGATTCAGACCAGATACAAAAAAGTTTTAGAACTATATGGATTCTATAAAGAGCTTCAAGAACTGGATAAAATTTTACAAGGGACAGAAGAAAAACTGATTAGAAAAATATACAATTACTTACTGCAATTTAAAATGGAAGAAGAAATAGATAACTTGGGCAAAAAAAATTGGCTACAACATAGAATTAGAGAAACGGGAAAAATTCTGGGGAAAAAATTACAAATTGACAATATCAATAGCGTACAAAGAAAACTTATACAAAATGTTCTACAGATGGCATTTACCACCAGTGAGACTAGTGAAAATGTTTGCTAATACGGACTGCTGGAAATTCAGTCAGGCCCAAGAAACATACTATCATATTAGGTGGACATGTACAGTAGCAAAAAAAAATATAAGGATAAGAATAAAAAAAATGACTTGAGATAATTAAACCACCAATAGAATTAAAACCAGAACTATTTTTATTACGGATAATTACAGGGAATTATGAGGAAAAAATTCAATATTTAATATTACATGTCATAACTGCAGCTAGAATTATATACACACAAAATTGGAAGAATAAAAATATACCATCAGAGGAAAATGTGATAAGAAAAGTGTTAGAGTGCACTAAGATAGATAGATTTACAAAAGATAAAGCAGAATCTGCAGAATTTGATATGGAATATATGATATAAATGGTTAGAAGAAAGATGTAAAGATTAGGAAAGCATCAAGGGAAGAAAGATTAAAGAATTAGAAAATAGGTACAAAGCCGTATAAATAGGCATGATATAAAATGTAAGATGTACTGTATATAAATTAGTACACTAGTAGCTTAATATGTATAAAATAAATATATGTACATATGTATGGATATAAAGGGGGAAATAGTATAACGGATGTATACCGATGCGGAAATGTTGCAAAGGTGATAATTGTGTTATAAAACTGGAAAAAAACTGTTCAATAAAAATTATTATAAAAAAATATCCAACAGAATCTTTCTTAAATTACCTATTTAAATCAAGTTTGCCAAGGATGATCCTTCATTTTTCTTATCTAATTAGTAAATCTGAGGAAATGTATATATAACTGAGAGCAATTTATAACATCACAAAATAGATTATATTGTAAATTGTAAATGCAATAGCTTTAATATACAAAATGATACATAATATTCACAATCACTATCAGGTTGTTGATCTAATGGCAATATTAGTTATCCACTTCACTGTTCCTGTGTCCTATCAATCATCCTTTCTCTTTTGCTTGGCCCATTTCTGCAATCCCTACATAACCACAGAACAATTCTATGTAGCCCAGAATTTTGTTAGAAAAACCAAAACTCAAATCTCAAAATTATCAATTATCAAGAAAACTAGAATAGTTTTCAAATGCTATTTTGATTAGAGAGAAACATGGTATTATCTTTGTTTCTCTTTTTTTCTGTCTCATCTACTTGGGCTATGATTAGATTATTTTTCATCTGTGCTTTGCACTACAATTTTTCAATATATAGTATTCAGTATATTAGGCTACTCTTCCAATTCACTGAATTTACTGAAATAGAGGAAGCATAAAACAATAACTTAACTGTTGATTTACTTACCATATTGGTTCGGGGAGCTGGAGTTGGAGTAGAGGATGCAGAGGGCTTGTTTCCCCCAGAGGGAACAGTTTGATATGCAGGCACAGAAGGAAAAGAAGGAGCACTGGGTTCTCTGGCAATAGTCTGTTGCAAATCTCTTAAAATAGAAGCATAATAAAAATGGAAGGTGAACATGGAGCATTAGAATTTTAGCCTACAATAGAACATCTGGGGTGTATTTTGTATTGAGATCTTGATTTCAGTGTCTGAGAAGGAAAACTACTAATTAATATTCACTCCAAGTCAAGTCCTAATTAAATTCACCTTCATTTAGCTACAGCCTAGCATTATTAGATTTAGAGTCCCCCAGAAGTGTTTTTTCTTGGATGAAAAAGCATTTGATACAAAAATAGAACTTTTTGAAGGACTCTTAATAATTAAAGCAATACTCCAGACTTAAAACATTAGATTTTGTTTCAAGCACTGCTTTTGCACCTACAAAAGATGTTCTATTTATCCCCAACTCTCAAAATGGAATACAGTATGTTTATAAGCATAAATAGTAAGTACAATACAGAGAATGCAGAAAAGGAAAGTTCCATGTTTAATTTAGAGAACTAGGCTTCTCAATCTATATTCATAAAATTTGATGGCTAACAGTATGTTTTAGGAATGGCAGAATAGGTTAAATATATGCAAAGTGGTAAATCACAACATATGGGGGAAATTCAGTTAAAAATCATGTAATGGTAACACTAATGTGTTGCTATTTGAAGATCAGAAATGGAAAAGTTGTAACTCTCCCATTGTTGAGGTTTAAGAACAAGCAAACATGGATGGGTGGGGCTGATGTTGCAGTGATACAATGGTGACTTAGCGGGGCTCTGATAAGTCAGCCAAATTCTACCTGTCAGGAGGCCCCCCTAGGGGGCCAAAGGTCATCCCGGAGAGGAGACGAAGAGGGGACACAGGTTGGATCGCAAGGAGAAAAGCAACCCCTTGCAGGTCTGGAGGAAGCCCTCAAACTGGCAGTGATCTGGGTTAGATTTTTTTTCTTTTCTAACTCCTGGAGGGAATTTTCCCCCATTTCTTATTTTATTTTTTGACAGTGTGACTCAAGAGCGAGAGGCAGGATGTTCTTTTTTCCACTCCCCAAAGCTTAGCAGCGACTAAGATTCTGAGCCTTTGACACATCTGGAAAAAGCTTGATTTATTTTTAAAAATAAGAGGCATAGGCTGAAACTACTGGAAAGCCTGAACTGATTCCCTTTGTTTTTTCCCACACTTAAAAAAAATGGAACTGATTCTATGGTTATTAAATTTGGATGAACTTTTACAAAAATATTTTTTAAATACTGTAGCAAAAAGGGAAAATTTAAGTGAGCGCAACATCTACTGGTTTGAGAGGATACTACAAGTGAAAAGAAGTCTTTATGTTTACAGCGGTTGTTTTTGAAAAGGAGTTTGAAACAAAACAGCACCTGAACACTGTTCACTTTGAAGATTTGGAGATACAGAGTGAAAATATTGAAATGCTTTGAACTATGCTTTGCATTATTGTGGATTACAAATTGAACTAGCAAAGTAAAGAACAGAAACAGCTTGGTTTGTTTTTTTTGAGACTAAGTGGATGATTTTTCTTTTGTTTATTCCCCCCCCCTTTTTTTTTGGTTCCTGGACTGGCTAGATACTGCAAATAGCGTGTTTTGTGTCCCCCACCTCTTTGGGATTATAAATATATTGAACAGTGAACTGAGATTTCTAAAGTCTTGGGGAATTGGTGGGCCTTGCAAATTACAAATATCTACTACTGAGAAAGGAAGAATACCTGTAAACTGTTTACTGCAAATATAATTAACAAAGTGAAACAGAAGCAGCTGTGAACTTTGAACAATGAACTGAGACTTACAATGGCTTGGGAAATTGGTGGGCCTTGTGGATTATAGATACTAATTACTGAGAGAAGAAGAAGAAAAACAATTATTTGCAAAGAAGCATTTCACACTACTATGGGATTTATTATTGGACTGATCTGGTGGATTTTAAAAATTATAAGATTGTGATACTGGTGGGAAATTGGAAGAGAAAAAGTGTTCTTTCCTTGGTTTAAAATAGGGGGATGTGTCAAATTGGTTGAGGATTAGGAGATTATTGTGGTGTATTTTAGTAAATTAAGGTCTAAATTAACCTGGTTAATAGACACAAGCAGATACAAACAGAAATGGCAAGTAATCCAAACCTAAATAAATTAGCACATCTGCAACATCAGCAGCAACATCAGCAGCACCATCAAGTCCATCAAATGAAAGATCAATAGAGAGCATGTTACAAGCAGAAAAATTAAATTCATTCCAAAAAGATGTAATGATGTTTGAATCTTTACAGGAGGCATAACAAAGAATCATAATGAGGTGAAGACTGAATTGGGAGAGACGAAAGAAACAATACACGATATGAGGGGAAAAATAGGGAATTTCCAACAAGTGATAGAAAAAAATGAACAAAGAATTCAGGTAACAGAAGAAAAATCAGAACAAGCAGAGAAAAAAATGGAGGAAATGAATAAAAGGCTTACACAGGAAAATTGCTTACACAGGAAAATTAAGAGTTGGAGGAAAATGTGATTTCATTGCAAGTGAAAAAGGCCACTTACTTTGTGAGATTTCAAAACAGATGAGGAAAAAGGAGAAGACCTACTTGATAGAATGACAGAATTGTTGGCAAATGCCTTACAAATTACAAAACAGGAAATGCAAGCAGATATTGATGAAATATTTCAAATACATACAATCTACACAAGAAGACATACTGTCCCAAGAGAAGTTAATGTCAGATTTGTCAAGATGATGATAAGAGTTGAAGTACTCAAAAAAGCAAGAAACGAACCATTTCAATATAAAGGCAAAGAAATTGTGGTGCTTCAAAAGGTGCCAAGAAGAGTAAAAAACCTAAGAAAACAATACCAATTCCAGACAGGTTAGCTGATCAAATAGAATGTAAATTTCAGGTGGTTGTCACCAGAAGGAATTTTAGTAACTTGGAATGAAAAAAGATACAGATTGGACTCATTAGATTAGATGCACATGAATTCTATGAATATCAATTTGGAACTACTGAAGAACAGGAAAGGGGAGAACAAGTAGAACATAAAGGACAAAAAGAACCAGTAAATTTGGAAAAGACTATGCGGCAAGAAGAAAGCGAGGCCGAGAAAATAGAACAAGTAGAACGAGAAGGAGCAAAAGCAAAGGAACAAACGGAGAAATAAAATCAACTAGGCAATACGACCTATGTATATGAGAAGATTGAAGAAGAATTAAAGATGCTATCAATTAACATAAATGGATTGAATTCACTAATGAAAAGGAAAAAAAAACCTTTCACAAAATTACAAAATTAAAATTTGATTTAATTTGTCTCCAAGAAGTCCATATTAAAAAACTGTATAGTAAAGCTTTTAGAATACCCCAAAATGGGAAAAGTATATTTCTCATTAGCACAACAAAAGAAAAGGGCGATGATTTTATAAAGGAAACAATAAAAAGGGGAGCATTTTGATGGTGGAGGTAATAATAAACCCAAAACAAGTACTGTTGATAGTAATATACACACCAAATAATAAGAAGGATTCTATTAAAAAAAACTTCACATGAAAATAACTGAAATGGATTATGAAAACATTTGTGTGTTAGGGACTTTGATGCAATTGTGGGCGCAAAATTGGATAAGTAGGGAAATAGATAAAAAGGCACATACTGCCACTAGGACTTTCTTTAAAATGACAGAACTATCACATCAAGATGTATGGTGAGAGATTTATTAAGATGATAATGGCAATATACAATAAACAAATAGCAAAGGTGTTGCTAAATGGAGATATGACAGAGAATTTTAACTTTAAAAAAGGCACAAGACAAAGATGTCCACTATCCCTTTCACTATTTATATTGACAAGATATAGAAATTAAAGGTATGGAAATAAAAAAGGAACAATATAAACTACAGGCATTCGCAGATGATTTGGTCTTTATCTTGGAAGACCCAGAAGAAAATGGACTTAAACTAATTAGGAAAATAGAAGAATATGATGAAGTTGCAGAACTGAAACTAAATAAAGAAAAAACAAAACAATAGTTTAAAATGTTATAGACATAGAGAAAAAAGAACTAGGTATACAGGTATACAGATAGTCAAGAAAGTTAAATATTTAGGAATTCAATTAATGGCAAGATATATAATGATTAAAGAAGATAATTATTATAAATTGGTGCAACAAATTAAAACAGATTTGGAGAAGTGGAAAAATCTACAATTATCATTGATAGGAAGAGTAGCCACTATAAAAATGAATATCTTGCCAAGATTATTATATTCATTTCAAACAACATCAATAAAACTTGGAAAAAATATTTTGAAGAATTAAATAAAACAATATTATATTTGGCAAGGGAAAAAAGTAATAAGTTTGAAAATGTTGCAAGAGTCTAAAAATAGAGGTGGTTTGGGGCTATCAAATTGGGAATTGTACCACCAGTCTTTGATACTTAGTTGGGTGAAAGAATGAATTGGCTTGAGGAATAAAAGATGATCGACCTTGAGGGGACATGATCTTCAATTAGGTTGGCATACTTTTTTATGGTATGGAAGAAATAAAATACATAGCTATTTCCAAAAACGCTGTGTTAAGAATGCATTATTATTAGTATGGGAGAAAATTAAAGAACAACATTATTTGAAAATACCGGTTTGGCTCTCCACAATGGAGGCACTGATTTGCACAATGTTATTATTGATATAGAGAATGTTACTAGATATAAAGATGTTTTAAATGAAAAGAGAGACCTTAAAACCAAGCAGGAACTGAGCGAGCAACGGATTGAGATAACATGGTAGTCATATGTGCAGATACAATCTAGATACAAAAAGGATGTTAAAATGTATGGTTTGTATAAAGAATTAACAAAATTAAATGAGATATTAATAGGGACAATGAAAAAATTAATACAGAAAATATATGTATTAAGATGGAAGAGGAACAAGTAAAAGAGACAATGATAGTATGGGCTAAATTTTTTGGCTATTATGGGATAGAAATTATAAATTAACAATGTCTACTGCATATAAAGAAAATCTTTATAAAATGTTTTATAGATGGCATTTTCCACCCTCAAGGTTAGCAAACATGTTTAAGGATAAATCTGCAAAATGTTGGAAATGTCACAAGATACCTGGTTCATACTATCATATGTGGTGGACATGCCAAAAAGTGAAGAAATATTAGACAAGATGAAACTGTTACAACAAATCAAATTGTCAACTCGCGAAGCATTCCTGACCTGCTCTCGAGTTACCATAGGCAGGGGTATGGGGAATCGAACATCGCAGCTGCATTGAGGAACTTGCACTTCAGTCAAAACAAAGCACATTCCAGCCGAAGGGAGGGACCTCTACAACCCACGAAATTGCTTCATTGGAGAATGTGACTGATGACACACCTTGGGGGGAGGGGGAAACAGGGTCAGAGCCAGGACGCGAATTAAGTGAGGTCAGACTTGGTCCGTGCTGACATGAAGCTACTAATAAATAACTGGATTTCTTTTGAAGCTTGGCTTGAGACTCATGATTTAATTAGGGCATTTAATCGGAACTGCCCTGACTGCTAGGGAAGATACTTCCGGTATTCCATAATTCCATTTTAAAACCCGTGATCGGGTCAATCCTGAGGCCACTATCTCATGAGCCCCTGAACCCAGTGGTCATAGGGAGCCAAACCCTTTACGAGGTGCAGCACATCCTTGACTTGAGGTAATACAGGATAATACAGGTAATACAATATTAGGCTCCAATACCTAATCAAGTGGAAGGGCTATCCCTTATCAGAGGTGTCTTGGGTAAAGAACAGAAACATCCAAGCTGACTGCCTCATAGCTAAATTCCATGAAGACAACCCATCAAAGCCTGGGGGGGATGCCACACCCCTAAAATCTATACCTGTACTCAAACTGTTTTTGTCTTGCACAAGTTGCCTTCAGGAAATGAGGGAAGCCTAATGTCAACTCGTGAAGTATTCCTGACCTGCTCTTGAGTTGCCATAGGCAGGGGGATAGGTAATCGAACATTGCAGCTGCATTGAGGAACTTGCACTTCAATCAAAACAAAGCATATTCCAGCTAGCCACGTCAAGGCAGACTCACAGTGGCCAGAGGCAGGGACCTCTACAACCTGTAAAATGTGATTGATGATACCCCTTGGGGGGAGGGGGTAACAGGGTCAGAGCTGAATTAAATGGTCAGAGTTGGTTTCACTTGGTTGGTGCCAACATGAAGCTCTTAATAAATAACTGGATTTTTTTGAAGCTTGGCTTGAAGCTCATGATTTAATTAGGGCATCGGTCAGAACCCTAACTCAAATTAGACTTGGAGAAATGGAGAAATCTGCAGCTATCATTGATAGGAAGGATAGCTACAATAAAAATGAACATATTGCCGACTGTTATTCTTATTTCAAACAATTCCGATAAAATTAGGAAAAAAAATCTTTGCAGAACTAAACAAAATGATACTAAAATATATCTGGTAAGGGAAAAAAGCAAGAATAAGATCAAAACTGCTACAAGATACTAAACTTAAAGTGGCTTTGGGTTGCCAGATTGGAAGACTCACAGGAGACTGCTGCTGAGTCACAACAGGGAGCTATATTACCAGGCCTGTATTTACATGGGTGAAAGAATGGATACATTTTACGCATAAAATACTATTAATTTTGGAGGGACATGATGTTCAACTGGGGTGGTATGCCTTTTTATGGTATGGGAAAAATAAAATATATGGATATTTTCAAAGGCACCATTTTAGAAATGCATTACTGTTAGTATGGGGGGAAATTAAAGAAAGATACTACATGAAAATACCAGTCTGGCTCTCCACAATGGAGGCACTGATACATCCGAATGTGATTAATATGGAAAAAAATTGTAAGGTATAAGTACATTTTGAATGATAAAGGGGATCTGAAATCTAAACAAGAACTGACTAATCAAGGGATTGGTTTAGCATGGTGGCCACACGTGCAAATACAATCAAGATATGAGAAAGATGCAGAATGTATGGTTTCTATAAAGAACCAACAGAATTAAACCAGATATTACTAGGGACAGATGAAAAATTAATTTAAAAAATGTATTACTACTTATTGAGCATTAAAATGGAAAAAGAGCAAGTCAAAGAAACAATGATAAGGTGGGCTAAAAACTTTGGTTACTCAATAGAATTAGATAAATGGCAGAAATTGTGGGATAGAAACTGTAAACTAACAATATCAATGGCCTATAAGGAAAATGTATACAAAATGTTTTATAGGTGGCATTAACCACCAGCGAGGTTAGCAAAGATGCTTGGAAACCTATCAGCTAAATGTTGGAAGTATAATCAGATACCAGGTTCATATTATCATATGTGATGGACATTCCCAAAGGCAAAAAATATTGGACTAAAATACATACTTAGTTAGAAAAATGATAAAGCAACATATAATTTGAAACCAGAAATATTTCTGTTGGGGATATTACCCGAACAGTATAAAAAAGAGAATACATATTTAATTCTGCATGTAATAATGGCAGCAAGAATAGTGTTTCTGCAACAATGGAAAAATGATGAGGTCCCAACAGATGAAAGTGTAATAAAAAAATATTAGAATGTGCTGAGATGGATAGATTGACACTTAAGATAAAAGAAAAGGAAGAAACAGAATATTTTTTAATGTGGGATTTATTTTACCAACAGTTAACTAACAGAAACAAAGGTTAGAATCTAAAAAGAATATTAAAAGATAATAGAAATTTGTACTGAAAATATTGTAAGATGGATAAACTATTTGTATTATTGTTTTGTGATTAATATTGATATGTTTATTGAGATTACTAATAGGATTATGTTTATTATTGTATCTTTACTTAAAATTAACTGTGCCCAGACAACATAATGTTCAGATAGATATGCATTTTTTTTTATGTTTGTAAAGAAAAGTGTATCAATAAAACATATATTCAAAAAAAAAAAAAAAAAAAAAAAAAAAAAAAAAAAAAGAACAAGCAAACATTGTGTACAAATATCAATAACTACACAGGATCACAACTGTCCTCAAGATCTGTCAGACAAAAATACATATACTATTTAATTAACTTATTGGATTAATTGCACATTAGTTGCTTTTATCTTAAGGATAACCAAGAAAATACCTGACCTAACTTAGAAAACATTCTATAATTCTATATATTACAAAAACATAAATAATGATTTTATAATTAATCAACATCTTGATAATTGTAAAACAGAAGCATTACCTATTATTTCCAGCTCAGCTATTATGGATAAATCTGTATTATGTGAAAGAACATTCAGTTTAAGCTGTTTTAATTACAAAGCTCTCTTTCCTTAAAATCAGCAGCCAGAAGCAAATTTTTTTACAGTATTTGTAAAGGCTTACTTCAGAAGTTCATCTCTTTCTGTTTTGCGGGCAAACACAATGTCACTGCATTTGTTTTGGAATTTCAAAAGGATTTCAGTCAATTCGTTATAGAACTGGAAAGGAAAAAAAACCGATGCATATATTCATACACACACAAAAACATACACATACATGTGTGTGTATGTGTATACATAGATGTATAAATTTCTGTATAAACATAAGGTAAAGGTTCTCCTTGCACATATGTGCTAGTCGTTCCAGACTCTAGGGGGCGGTGCTCATCTCTGTTTAAAAGCCGAAGAGCCAGCACTGTCTGATGACGTCTCCATGGTCATGTGGCTGGTTAAATGCTGAAGGCACATGGAGCGCTGTTCCCTATTTTTCTACTTGCATTTTTGTGGGTTTTCGAACTGCTAGGTTGGCAGAAGCTGGGACAAGTAACGGGAGCTCATTCCATTATGCGGCGCTAGGGATTCGAACTGCCGAACTGTTGACCTTTCTGATAGACAAGCTCAGCGGCTTAGCTACTGAGCCACCACGTACATAGATATAAATTTATTGTAATGGCAGAAAAATATATTAATGAAAACATTTTATATAATTGTATTTTAACAATCTATATGAAATAGATAGTTTGATGGAACAAATACCAAGCAAATTTGCAAAATAAGCAAATAAAATGGTTCAATTAAAATATATTGCAGTATGTGTTACTGCATTTTTCCAGAGTATAAGATGCACCATTCTCACAAATTGTCTATTATCTTCTTATATCCTCTAACAGGTAGATAGATTTTTTTTATTAATTTAAGTTAATTTACTAACTTTGTTTAATCCTTTTGTTCTATTTTGCTCTAGTTTCTGTTATAAAAGTATGATGCTACAAAATATCCTTTAACATCTAGCAAAATTTTCAATTCAAAACTGGCATTTTTGCAATACATGACCCACAGATTCATTCAAGGACTTTTCCAAGTTGCTTATTGAACTTATGCTCTATTAAGTTTTTGAAAACCAGAAATAAAACACATCTATTGAGATATTATTAGTCTTGTGGACTCTTGTGTTACCATACCTTTGTGCCTTCTTTTAAGTTGGCTGTAAGTTCCACAAAGTTGTCATTAGCTATAGCTAAATTCTTCAGAACTTCTTCCCTTAAATTGGATTCATTATTTGACTGCTTCATCTTAGAAAATTCCTGATGAGAATTCTAAAAATGAAACAGGATAAGATATAAAAAACCAACTACAAAATATTTTGTTCCTTCAACTTAGACCTAAAGATTCTCTGTTGGAATAATAATTTAATATTACTGTCTCAGTAAAAAGCTACATCAGATAATCCATTGCCTTACCTGAACGGGTATTCTCTGTGAATTGCGGGGAAATCCAAGCATGGGTTAACTTCAGCCCTTTAGCCTAGAGACTGAGTTAGAAAAAGTCTTGACCACGCCTTTTCCGCCCTCCAGAGTTCAGTTTTTTTAACGAGGCACAGCCAAAAGGAAGTATGTCCATGACGGAAATTATCTACTGCTAACAGGTAGGTTCCTTGCTAACCCTGGACCAACTGGTCACGGAGTGGGGTTGGATTCTCCCACAGCACACAGAGAATAGCCATTCAGGTAAGCCAATGAACTTTCTCCTGTGTGCTATTTGGAGACTCCAAGCATGGGATATATTCAAGCTAAATTCTTATGGGCGGGAAGAAGACTGGTACAGGGCCCTGGAGGTGGAGTGGACTCTCTGTAGAACTCGTTGCCCGAATGAAGCCTCATCCGAGGCGAACATGTCCAATTTGTAATGTTTGATGAAGGGTGTCAGGGAAGACCACGTCGCCACCCTGCAGTTCTCTTCCACCGAGGCCTGAGTGGTCCAGGCTGCTGTGGTAGCCGCACTCTTGATGGAGCGGGCCGTGATACATCTCAGTAGTGGTCAAGACTGGTACTCATAGGTCATATCTATGCAGGCTGTAATCCAACTGCTTATGGTAAACGGAATCACCTACTTGCCCATGGAGGCTGGCTGAAAAAAAACAAAGAGCAACTCCAAGTTGTGGAAGGATGCTGTCCGCTTAATATATTAGCAAAGACCCGTCTGACATCCAGCAGGTGCCACTTCCTTTCCAATGGATGCGTTGGTCTCAGGCAGAAATTTGGAAGAATGACCTCCTGGCCCCGATGAAACCAGGAGTTTACTTTTGGAAGGAATGAAGGGTCCAATCTCAACACAACTCTGATTGCATGGAAAATGCAGAGGTCCCTCCTGATTGACAGGACTGCTAGCTCTGACACCCTACTCACTGAGGTGATAGCGATGAGGAAGTCCTTAAATGTCAGAAGCCGAAGACTAACAGTTCCTAGTGGCTTGAATGGAGGTAAGGCCCTGTAATACCAAGGGAAGGTCCCAAGTGAGTTAACAATGGACCATGGGAGGGTCGCAGATTAGATGCCCCCTTTAAAAAACTACATACCCTAGGGTGGCACGTAAGTGACTGATTGCCCACTCCTGCCAGGACTGTGGACAGGGCCGCTACCTGCATTTGGAGGGTAGTGGGGGCTAATCCCCTGTCCAAGCTGTCCTGCAAAAATTTGAGATCTGTGGGATTGAAACTGTCAACAGGTCAATCCCCCTGCTCTGGCACCATCTGCTGAAGGTCGCCCAACTGACCTCATATATTCTGGTAGTAGAGGGATGTCTGGCCACCTGGATAGTGTGGATAACCTTTTTGGAGAATTTGGCCTGATTTTGGATGTCCCTGTCAAGTGCCACACAAGTTGAAGCCACTAGGGCTCTGGATGGAGTAGAGTCCCAGGCTGAGGACAATCCAGTTGTTGGGAATTCTCCAGGGACAGGAGATGGACAGATTGATGAGGTTGGTGAACCAGGGCCTCCTGGGCCAGTGAGGAGCTACAAGCAGCACTTCCGCTCCCTCTGCCAAGATCTTCCAGATAACTCTTAGAATGAGCAGGAGAGGCGGGAAGGCATACAGCAGGACTTGAAGCCAGGGACAGCGAAGTCGTTGACTTCCTTCATCCCCTGAACAGGAAACTTGGTGAAAAGGCAGAGAGCAAGCTGTAAAGGCTGAGGATAAGTCGAACCTCCAAGGAGCACCAAATTAAGCCTCCGCATAATACAATTCTCAGTGGAGAATGCATTTCCAAAATGGGGCAGGAGCAGTGAACCAGCCCTCACAGTGCCTAAAGTTTCTCGCGGTGCCCTGGTGCCAGTGCAAAATTCAAACAACCTCTAACACAAAAAATAGCACTTGAGATTGGCGAACCGGCTCTCCGCTTGCTAGCCACCTGAAAATCAGCTAGCCCAAGTGATCAGGCAATATCACCTGCCACCCGAGATCCCAGTCTGATAGTGGAGCGAAAACCAATGATCAGGGCAGTGGCAGTTTTGTCTGGCAGACTGGGGAAACCCAGCGCATTTACCAGCAGCTAAATAGCAGAAATGGGATTTTGCACACCAAATATCTCCAAAAGAATCCTATTATAAACTCACTGTGAGAAAACGGAGAATCCAACTGGGCAAAAACTCCCCACCTATGCCTATGGAAAGAAATTGAATTAGAAAAGGTCTTGAATACGTCTCTTTCAGGCCAGACTGAATTAAAAAACTAGATTCCAGAGAGCGAAAGAGACATGTTCAAGACTTTTTCTAACTCAGTCTCTAGGCTAATGGGCTGAAGTTAACCCATGCTTGGATTCTCCAAGCAGTGTGCAAGAGAATATGCCAGATCTTTGATTTAAAACACTTTATAATAATTACCTGAATGGTGTTGAGCAGCTCCTCTTGTTTTCTCAGGGTTTCCTGTACTTTATGAGTAAGACCACCATAAAGATTATCCAATTCTGTGACAGAAATGGCTTCTTCATTTAAAGCACCATCCTCTGCTAGTGCTGTTAGGAATTTAGATGTCATGTCAAAGTTTACTGATTTGAGATCATTCTCAAGTTGTTCTCTCTGCTTTTTTACTTCATCCAGACTAGCTAGCAACGATTTTAGGATGTTAACTACCTAATAAAAGAAAATAAATTAGAAATAAAATTGGACATAGTTTTTCATATTAATACTTTTATTATATCTATATTGCTTAAGAATATGATAGCAATGCTGAGCCTAAATACAATTCAAATTAAGACCTTGGGAGTTCTTAAGACTGTTGAATCGCAGAAATAATTTATTCTGCGTAAAAACAGATAATTTTATATGGAAAACCTGATGGGCCATCTCTGTTTGGTTAAATAGAACTGTTTTATGCAATTTTTGGAAGTTATTTAGGTGCTTTTTAGCAACAAAGGGAAATTTAAATGCATAAGCTGTCTAGAATACTTTTGCGAGTATGATGATACACAAGTAGTTAGTTAAACAAATAACTCATATTTAAACATGAAAAACCAACTGTATATACAGTTTCATATTACCATGAAAATGCCTAACTATAATCAGCAGCAATTACAGGATGAAAAGAAAGAACTAGAAAGACCATTGGCTTACCTGAACGGTCGTTCTCAGGGCGCTGCGAGGAGAGTCCAAGCGTGGGTTAACACAGCCTATCTGCCCTTGGACTAAGTAATGATTTTCTTGACCACGCCTCCCTTTGCCTCTCCATGTTCAGTTTAAAAACAAAAGGACAAAAGTAAGGTAAGAGTTCACAGTCAATAATACAGTCACAGATTGTAAAAGAAAAACCCTGGGTGGGTTTGGACTCTCCTCGCAGCGCCCTGAGAATGACCGTTCAGGTAAGCCAATGGTCTATCTCCAGTGCGCTGCTTGGAGAGTCCAAGCGTGGGACATGCCCAAGCTATTGAGTCCCAGGGTGAGAAAGGCCCGGAGCCTCCGGAGTCTCAGCGACTCTTTGCAAAATTCTTCTTCCGAAGGAGGCTTCGGCTGAGGCAAAGGAGTCTATTTTATAGTTTTTTATGAGGGCGGTGGGAGAAGCCCACCCTGCAAATGTCCAGAATAGATGCCTGGGTTGCCCATGCTGCCGAAGTGGCCGCGCTCCTGGTAGAATGCCCGGAACTGGCTTGCCCTGATGCTCATATGCCAACTTGATGCAAGCACGCAGCCAACGACCCACAGTGTGAGATGATGCCTTGTGGCCGAGTGCCCGGGAAGGAACGAGACGATAAGAGCTTCTGACCGACGAAAGTCATTTGTTCTCTTCATAAATGCGGATGGCACGCCTCACGTTCAACTTATGCCATTCGCGTTCCCTAGGATGAGAAGGTCTGGGACAAAAATTAGGCAATATAATTTCTTGAGACCTGTGGAAGGTAGAATTGATTTTAGGGATAAATGAGGGGTCAAGTCTTAATATAACCCTGTCAGGATGGACCACACACAGATCCTCCCTGACAGAGAGAGCCGCCAATTCGGAGATCCTGCGAGCGGAAGTAATAGCCACTAGAAATGCAGTCTTAATCGTCAGATGGCATAACTTGTCGTCCGAAGGGGCTCGAAAGGGGACCCCATTAAAGCCCTCAAGACAAAGGGAAGATCCCAGGACAGATAACGCTGAATTGCAGATGGGCTGATGTTCACTGCACCCTTTAGAAAACTTTTGATTTGGGGGTGCTGACTCAGAGAGCAAGAAGAACCCCTGGCCAGAATGGTGGACAAAGTGGATACCTGACGCCTAAGCGTGCTAGGTGCTAGTCCCTTGTCCAGTCCCTCCTGTAAGAAGTCCAAAGTCTGAGGGACTGAGGTGGAGAAACCAACAATGCCTCTATCCTTACACCAAGAGGAGAAGGCAGCCTAGGTCACATCGTAGATCCTGGTTGTAGAAGGTCTCCTGGACGCTTGAATAGTTCTGATGACCTTGTCAGAGATGTTTTGTTTCCTCAGAAGATCCCCCTCAAGTGCCAAATGGCTACTTGCAGCCACTGGGGTTCCGGATGATTGATGGCCCCTTGATTGAGGGAGATTTGGTCCTGAGGAATTCTCCACGGTCTCTGAATGGATAAACTGACAAGGTCCGCATACCAGGACCTCCTGGGCCAGAACGGTGCCACCAGAATGACTTCTGCCCGCTCCCTCAGGATCTTTGCAATTACCTGAGGGATGAGGGGAAGAGGAGGGAATGAGTATAAGAGTTCTCGGGGCCACTCGCACCTCAGTGCGTTCATCCCCTCCGCCGACGGTGAATGGTAGCCGGTGAAGAATCGTGGCAGTTGTGTGTTGGAGTGTGTGGCAAAGAGGTCTACTTGCGGTTTGCCGAATCTCCTCACGATCTGCTGGAACAGATCCGGATGTAGACGCCACTCTGAGTGATCGATGCGCTGTCGGCTTAGCCAGTCTGCCTCTCGATTGCTGGTCCTGGAGATGTGATCTGCTCTGAGAGAAGCCAGTCGTCTTTCCACCCACCTTCCCAGGGCTTCCGCCAAGCTCATAAGCGTCTTGGAGTGTGTGCTGCCCTGTCTGTTTATGTGGGCCTTTGTGGCCACATTGTCTGTGAGTAACAGTACATGCCTTCCTTCGATTATGCGAGAGAAGCGTCACAGGGCAAGTTGGGCTGCCCTCAGCTCTAACCAGTTGATGCTGTGGGCGGCCTCCCTCTGGGACCATTGACCCTGGGCAAGTTGACTCTGGCAGTGGGCGCCCCATCCCAGAAGACTCGCGTCTGTGGTGACCACGATTTGTTCCGGTTCCCTGAACAGGCAACCCTTTACAATCGCCTTGGAACTCCACCAGGTCAGTGATTGGACCACCTTCAGTGGAAGGCACACCCGCCTGTGGGAATTGCTGGTTTTAGCTCTCTACATGGGCAGGAGAAACCATTGCAGTTCCCTGACATAGAGACGGGCCCAGGGCATGATTTTCAGGCAAGAATCATCAGCCCCAGCAGCTGGGAGAGTTCGATGATTGGCACCGACCTGGACAGACAACAACGTTTGACTCTGGTCTTCAGATTGTTCCGGCGATCTGGCGACAGGAACAATCGGCTGGAGGTCGAGTCGATGATGGCGCCTAGATGTTGAATGCGTGTTGATGGTCGAAACTGGCTCTTCTCCAAGTTGACGGAGAAGCCCTGTTGCTGCAACGTCTGGACCATGAGGTGGACATCTCGTCGAACCTGCTCTGCTTTGACAGAATGAATAATTATATCATCCAAATAACATTCCAGACGTATGGGGAAAGTCCGGAAGTGGGCTGCCACCACCACCAGGATCTTGGTAAAGGTGTTGGGTGCTGATGAGAGACCGAAGGGGAGAACCTTGTACTGATAGTGCTTCCCCTTGGAGCAGAACCTCAGGAACCTCCTGTGGGCAGCATAAATGGGGACATGGAGGTAGGCTTCCTTTAAATCTATGGAAGTTAACAGATCCCCCTCCCGCATGCAATCCAGAATAGAGTGGAGGGATTGCATCTTGAACCTCTTGTAGGCCAGATGGTGATTGAAGCTCTTTAGGTCCAAGATGGCCCTCCACCCCCCACCCCCCGAACTCTTCAGAACTGTCGTTCCTGTTCTTTGGGGACGGGCTCTATGGCCTCTATCTGGAGACGATGGAGGATCTCCGCCTGCATGAGCTCCCGTTTTAACAGATTCTTGGGGGTGGGACAGCAGATGAACTTCCTCTGGGGAAAGGATAGGAATTCTAGAACCAGGCCCCTCTGGATAGTGGAGAGGACCCAGCTGTCTGAGGTGATTTCCTCCCACCTGTCGGTGTATAGTTGTAACCCTATGGGAGGAATCCCTTGGCAGTCACTTCCCCCTACAGAACTGGCGAGAGCTATTGTTGTTGCCCCCTCGGAATGGCTTCCGAAAGGAGGACTGATGGTGCCTCCCCCGGGTACTGAAGGACCCCCTGTCCTGGTTCCTGTCGCCCCCCTGATGGAAGGTCCTCAGATAGGAGGAGGAGGAAGATGCCTGGGCAGAGTCCTGATTTCGAAAGGCCTGTCTACGAAAGGAACCGAACTGTTTGCGTTCGTTCCTCTTAAGGGTGGCCGGGAGAATCTTCCGCTTGTCTTTAGTTTCTATAACAAACTTATCCAGAGCATCCCTGAATAAATGTCCTCTCTTGAAAGGAGCGGAAGCAAGCTTCCACTTGGCCTTCATATTGGCCTGCCAGTGGAGCAGCCACAGGAGGCGTCTATATGTCACATTGGAGGCTAGGGCCCTGGAAGCAAACTTCGCTGCATTGAGCGAAGCATCTGCTGAATACTCAATGGCGGTAATGATTTTTGTGAGATCATGGCACCATTTTGACTTTCTGGTAGGCAGTTAGGACCGCAACTGCCTCAGCCAGAGCAGTGATGCTCTGGTGAAGAAAGACGCCGAGGTGGATGCCTTGATGGCCCAGGCAGCTGCCATGTGTGTTTTGTGGCATGCTTTCTCCGATCTTTTATCTTCGGCCTTGAGACCTTCAAGAAGGTCCGCAGGCAAATTAGAATTCGAGGTCAAAGACATTACTGGGGCCTCCACCTCCAGCAGTTTCAAGACCTCCTCCATTTGATCTTCAACTGAATAGAGAGATTTATCCCCCGCGCTGGGGTTGGTTAGGGTACTAGGTTGGACCCATTGCCTCTGGATCACATCCAAAAAGAGATCCAGGACAGGAATGGATTCTCGGGTGAAAGGAGGTTCCTTAAACAGACCTGTTTGTGATCCTTAGAGGAAGAGGCCTGGACTGAGTCAGGTTTGGGACTAGATCCCAATTCAGTGGCCACCCTGGCCTTGTGAAGAATAGATTTGAATAGTGTTGGTTTGAAGAGGCCAGTGAAGGCTGGCTGGTCGGGGGGAAGGTCTTCATCCTCTGAGAGGACAAAACCCTCGGCCTTCTCCGAGGAAGCAGAGGCATCTGGGGAGGCCTGGTCTTTAGAGGTGGAGGCTGAGCTAGGCTGCTTGGATTTGGAAGGCTTGGACTTGCTAGAACCTTTGAGCTTTATGCCCTCAGCTATGCCCTGGGAAATGGCGATGGAAATGACTTCCCTCATCTCTGCTGACAGAGCTGAGCCCTTGTCCTCCCTGGGGCGATGCCTACTGGGAAGATCAAGGCGTTTGCGTTTGCCACTGATACACTCCTCATCTGCAGGCAACATGCCCTGAAAGGGTCCCAGTTCCTCCCTGAGAGATGAGCTGGGTGAGTCAGGGTATCCCCAGGATGCATCAGGGGATGGGTCCCTGGAAAATTCTCGATCCAAAGATGGAGAGCCACTGTCCCTGATAGAAGGGGAGTCTCCACCCACATCTCTGACAGAAGACTCCTCAGGGGAATTCCTGGCCTGTTCTGAGGGAGGCCTCCCTTGAAGCTGACGTTCTGAGCCCTCCGCCTGCTTGCGGTGACAAGGGCCCTGCTTGCCTTTATCACTGGGTTCAGAGGGACCCGGGGAGAGCTTCTCACGGGCACCTTTATCCCCTTTCCCCCCAATAGAGTTAGGATTAGACCTACTATGCTTGCTGGAGGGCCCTGCCTGCTCCTCCCGAGGCCTCACACTATCATCAGCCATGCTGCCCTGCAAACCGGAGCAAGAGGTCAAGATGTTGCAGCCTCGGTTGCCTGCCGACTGAATTAGATGGCTGACACGCTGTGTGTAGTACTAGGGCACCTGACGCTGGCCTGATAGCTCAAGCGCGTCCGCAGACTCTTTGAGGGAGGGCCGCCGAGAGGTTGGAATCCTCCTCCCCACCGCACACCGATGTCGCTGCCTTGTAGAGGGTAAAGGGCAGGCCTAGCCGGCGCCCCGGATTAGGACCGCGCTTCCTGGCGGTAGCTGCGGCTGAGGGGTAGCTCTGGGCAATTCACGCTCTCCTGGTTCGGTTCGCACCAAATCGCAACCGCTGCCTCACAAGGTGGCTCGCAGGTCAAAATGAGCCCACACAGCGAAAGTGTCATTCAAAATGGCCCCCGCTGTGCGTGCATCCGCCACATGCCAACCAGGCATCCAATGAGGAGAAAGCGTGTAAAGCCACTAAGATGGCCACCACTGTTGCCTGGCAGAATAAGCTGGAGTACCTCAGAAGCGAGGAACACCTCGTAGGCTGAGAAACCGGAGAAATCAGCAATAATCGTCAAGGGATCTGCCCGTCCCTATCTCTGCCAGCTGATGCTGGACGAGCGATTCACATGCGCCGCTCCGCTTGCGATCCGCGGCAGCGGAATGAAAGGCCTGGCCCCTCTCAGCATAAAGAAGCCTTCAAATGCAGCTCTTCAGCCTTGCAGAAGTATTTAGAGATGTATTTAAGATGGAAGTAGCTTGAGTGGTCAGATTTTCAGTTGGGAAACCCCAGTCTATCTACCCTTGGACTGGAGCACTCCCAAAACAGTCCCTACGGGCAGATTGAGTTTTTAAACTGAACATGGAGAGGCAAAGGGAGGCGTGGTCAAGAAAATCATTACTCAGTCCAAGGGCAGATAGGCTGTGTTAACCCACGCTTGGACTCTCCAAGCAGCGCACTGGAGAATAAACAGAACCAGTGTGATGTATTGTTAGAACTGGCAGTCCTAAGTTAAAGTTCCCCCTGTAAGCCTCAAAAGCTAACTGGAGCAGTCACTTTCTCTCACACCTCATAGGATTGTTTTTTGAGGAGGCAGGGGTGCTAGTGTGCAACTGTGAGCTGTTGAAAAGGTAAGATATAAAGCTAATAAATAAAAAACATCTCCATTAGACTGTGTGCATGTATGTGTGCACGTGCATGCATCCCTTTGCATTACTATTGACTTCTAGTTACACATTACAAAATTATGAGATGAAGCTATAAAAGCAGTATTCCTAAACTGTGGTTCTGATCTTTAAAACTCATTTTTAATAGCTCAAACTACTGTAAATCAAACAGTGATAATTATGAACCAACTAGAGTATCTAACTATTCACTGTGTGAGGTTAATAATATGTTACATATGTGCATGGCTTAGAAACAGTGAAAGGAGTAGGCAAGTGGTGAGTGTACAGAAAGAGAAAACAGATGAGAGGATCCAGACTGATGTCTTTGCTTCAGTGGAGCCAGTTTATAGGTATAATAAGAGACATTGTTTGTTACATGTTCCTAGTATCATTAGGAGGGAGGAAAGCATGGTATCCAGTTTGTAAAATGGAATTTCGAAGTGTTTAAAAATAGAGTCTTCCCATATTATCAGATGCTACAATTTGGCTGTCAATTTATGATTTATATTGCTTTCTTTACTATTCTTACATAATATACAAGGTACATAGCCTATAGCCTTGCTTAAACCAAGATTCTTTTGAATTCTGTTGGCCAAGAATTAGTGTTGCATATATCTCCAAATGCTTTGATTTCTTTTTTAAATTGGTGTTTCCCCACAACAAATGTAATCATTAAAATTTTTTATTCATACCTCACTCCCTTGTATTGTTTTTGCTGGATTTGCTGATGGAATGGCTGCATTAAGTTCTTGTTCTGATTTAGATAACAATGAAATTGTATCTCGATGAGATTGGTATCGTTCCTTAACCTGTTTGTCAGCTTGTACTGCTTTATCCAGTACATTACGGAAATTGGTTCCTTCTATAAAAAAAAGCCCAAAGAAAAATCTGCAGCTAAAATATGACATCTTACTAATTAGCAATACAGTGAATTGTTAAGCCCTTATCAACTACTTACAACCAAGAAAGCAATATTCTCATAAAGTTTCTTTAATCAGATAAAAGGAAAAATGACTAGAGCATCTTAGAAATTGAATTATTTTACTTTACTTATATCTTAAGGTAACACTTCCTTGATGTCTTTACATTTCTTCCTAATAATCTCTTGGCACAAAAATGTTGCTACAATTCATCTGCTAAGGAGGAATACACTTCTGTTCTGGCTCTCCATTAGTTTGAAAATACAATATTCCTGGATTCTGGGGAACTGATTGTGTGAATTGGTTACCAATACTTTGTTAAATTGGTAGTTCCATGAATTTGATTGGGTCACGGTCAGTTATAGTATATTCTTCCCAGTGTTGGAAAACATGATTTCACATATCTTTGTGGTGGATTTTAAAAGCTTTATTAAATTATGACAGATGTCATATAGCCGGGATACCATACTGTGCCTTCTACTAGCAATCATTATAAAGACACAGTTTCTATTCAGATGCTTGTTCAAAAATTAAAATTCTACAGTACAAAAGGTAAAATTCCTTCTAACACTTGAACAAGAATGGTTATTTGAAATCCAAATTTATTTAGTGACACATAACCCAGTTTCAGAGTGGGTGGTGCTTCTATTTTCTAAACAGTATTTTTCTTATCATGAAAACAAAACATTTGAGATAGCATAACAGACCTTGAAACAAACAACTCCACCCTCATTTCTCATCTCAGGATCCTAATCTATACTAAGTACCACCTGCCAAAAACTGGTCAATGGGATGTTGTTTTTTAAATAAATATTTTTAAAATCAAATCCTACAAGAAGTTATTGGAAGCACAATACTTTTAAAAATGTGTGCTTGTTAAAATATTGAAAAACTATCAAACATTTGAATAGTATTGAGAAAAATTAGAAAGCCAAAAATGGAACCCAATGAAGGCAAAGATATTTAATCCATTTATTCTGAGTTGATGTTTTGCTTCATTCAAGCCCTGTTTGCACTTGAATTATAAATTCCGAGGTGGGTGAAATGAGGACCCGGACTGTGGGGGCAAGTTGCTGACTCAATTTGCTAAAAAAAATTGTAAACCACTTAGAGAGGGCTGAAAGCCCTATGAAGCGGTATATGTCTAATAAATAAATAAATAAATAAATAAATAAATAAATAAATAAATACTTCTTGGAAATAGCAGCATAAAAATGGTCAATATTTTATTTTTTCTAAAATTGAAATTAATCAACATTAAAATATTGTAATAATCATTTATTAAGGCAAGTCTTTATTATCTATTTTTACATTATGAATACTCAAGGATCAAAATAAATTAATATCTAGCTCTCTGAAATATAAAAGCAAAAGCATTAGTATCAATTTATTATATAAGCTAATAATTAATCAACATCTTGTATTGCCAAAATCTATCATCTGTATGCTGACTCAACGTAATCAATTCAGATTGGAACTTAAACATATCCTCTATTAAATTCAAGCCTAGTATAAGTTTGTTCCTGTTCTCAGACTGTTTCTTCTACTGTGCTCTCTTACCTACCTGCTTCAATGTTGTATCAATATATTTGGGGATAAAAATCATGACAAAAAGAGATTCATGCAAATGTCTATGTAGTAAGCAACCTAATGTAATGATCAAATACACAATAATATATTACCTGCCCTCAAAGACTTGTATAAATCATTTGATGGTGTTCTTTGCCAACGTTCCTTGAATTTGTTTTTCAACTCATTATCTGTTGCTTCTTCTTCATCCAATATCCTTAGTGACTTTCATTGTTTAAAAAAAACCAATTAAAATAATTTTAGTTCATATTTTAATGGATTGTTGCCAGCATGGCTTAAATTATCTCCCATTAATAGATATGACTTAAGCTGGTGACTTAACAAACAATTAGCTTAAAACCTAAATAATGTATATCTAAATTAGATACCATGCTTTGCAATTATATCAGCCAGGTGTTATTTGAACAATAAAATATCAGGGTTAATATTTCTTAAACTGGTTCCCTCTCCTACTAAATAAATATTGCAATCCCTATCAATTAACTAATGAACATTTAAATGTGAAAATTTGCCCATTCTACCAAGAAAAAGGCATGTGATTTCTTAAGAATGCAATTATTACTGCAAACCTACCTCATCCAGAATCTCTCTATTTCTTTGCAACAATTCAGGAAGATCTTTCATCAACTGATCTATTGCTTCAACACCTCCCTGTTCAATCACTGATTTAGACTTCTGTAGAATGGATTGAGGAATACTATCTCCAGAAACATCTTCAATAGCAGCAGGAAGATTAAGGGATGCTAGCACTCTAGAGGAGATTACATTATTTCAGTTTACCATCTTGTAGTCACTTCACAACAAACATACAGCTTAAACAAGTCAATTTAGTGCTTTATGCCGATGCTAATTTTTACATCAACAAAACATTACCAGGCATCTTTACTGTTAAAAAAGACGTGTTTTGATTGGGAGTATAAGGAATTCAATTATATATGAAGTTTCAATTGCATACCAATCAAAGAAGCCATCTGAAGAGACATTTTAAAAAACTGGACTTTTATTTTATAAATTGATTTTCTTGTTTGTGTTCAAAGAGGCATACACAAAAGAAGGAGTAACTATCTGGAGAGCGGGTCAAATGGCCATCAGAATCTCATTCCCAATCCAATGTCTGAAATCAAAGGGTCTTTACTATGGTATTAATACAGTATATCAACATTTATCAACTGCACCACCAAATCCTTTTCTGCTAATGCAAAATTTCTCTAGAACCTAGCAGACATCAAAATAATCATCTCACCCATTTGCCAAATTGGTGGCCTCTCTCATCTGGCCTATTGATCTATTAACCAAGTCTGCTTTTCTTTGGTTGTAGACAGCAAGAGCTTGCTGTACTGCCATAGGAACCATCTTCTCAAACAAATCTATAAAGCAAAACACTATAATTAGTAAAACAGATTCATATTCTTGCTCTCTCACCATTATTTATCTGAAATTACTGGACTTTATGCTCCCCATTATCTTTTTTCCCCAAAACAAGATCTACAAAGAATCAACATGTGAACTTGTTAGTAGTTTCACTTATACCCCAAAACATGAATAAAGAGGACTGAACTAATGAACCGCCTCAAGATACTCCCACTTAAAATTCCAAGTGATATTATTTAAAGATAATCTAATTTTATTCTTACCATATGAAACATTTGAACTATGGGATTATAGAGTAAAGGCAGGTTTTTTTTAATGTGAATGTGTTGAAACCTACAGTACTTTTAATGCAAATGCAATGTCATCAAAGTAACTTACATATTGCAAGCTAGACATGTAACAGTGATCTTGTATCACCAAGAATGCAAATGTTACATACCTGTTTTCAGAAGACTTGGAGCCTATTTGATAATATTTCATATTCAGTTTTTAAAACAAAGGGATTACTAAAACTTTGTAGAAGACAGATTATAGATTTCATTTGTATATTGTATATTCTTTGAAGCACACTTAAAATGAAATTGGTATTCATTAAGAACATATCAAATGCTTCAAACACTTGTACAGATACCATTTCTCCTAAAATAAGCCCTATCAAAAAATAAGCCCTATCATGTTTTATGTGTGCATTTAATATAAGCCCTAACCCCCCCCAAAATAAACCCTACCTAAGAGCCTGCACAACTGGCCACAAGCACGTCAAGCAGCCCCCTGCCCTGCTGTGAACAAGCAGAAGTACATTGAGGGGAACATGGGTAGTTTAAAATTTTTTAATGATATCAAATAATATACTGGTGAACTGATATGGGCAATAAAACAAGTTCCCATTTGAAAAATACAAGTAAAAGTAAAGCTAATCCCACTCCAACTGGGTTGACATTCAAAAGAAAGACAACACAAACAACTTTAAATTCCAAAATCTGAATGGGATTGCTGAAGTCATGTGCCCAATATCAGAATGCAGTGATAATCACGCTTACCTGTAAATTTCTGACTCAGAGGGAGAGTAATGGAAGTTGCTTTCACAAGACTGACTTTTCCTATTGGTTCAAGATCTTTAAGATCAGGAACTCTATCGTGATAGATGAAGTCATTATCCTTCTTTGCAGCAGTAAGTGCACGGTTGATTTTGTCAGACAGGTCTTTAACATTTACATATTCATCATAACGAGATGTCACTGTTTTTACAAGATCCGCAGCATGCTAAATTAAAAACAAAACAATCTGAAACAGACAGTTCTGTAATAACCAAATAGAATATTTCTGTAATATTCTGCATATTAATATCACTAGTTGTCAAATTACAAAAGTGGTATGCATAATGAGTAGTGCTTTGTTCATGAATTGACATATTTTACTCAGAATTTCCTAGCATATCCATTTTGTTTTGTTGAATTTTGTTTTGGTTTTCCAAATGCCAGCTATGATAAATGGCCAAGTACTAAAGAGTTTTTACATATAAGTTTCACAACAACAAATTATTTTGATCGTTTAATAATCAATTATTACTTGGACATCATATGCCTTTCACATTGGCAGTAAAATATTCTAACAGAGATTTAACAATTTTAAATGTCCTATTTAAATCTTACTCACTGAATGTAATAGATGGATAACTTATGCTGATAATGCTGTACTTCTGTGCCAAACTCCCATAAAATGAGAACAGCATTTCAATATTTACCTTCTTAGTATAGGATGACACTTTTGATCAATCAACTATAAGCAAGATAGAATACTAGTTTTTGTTAAATATAAATGAATAAATGGCAAATCTATGGTAGTAAATTATAAATAATGTTCAATCTAAATGCAGATATAGTACAATCAAATAGCCATCAAAGTTTTTAATATTAAAGCTCTGATATAATGGCTGATAGTTCTCAAGTCTTACTCTAATTTTACCAAGTTGTCAGCACTATAGTTAGCAGCAGATGTGATTAAGGTACAGATCAAAGCTTGTTTTTTACCAATTACAGAGGGTCTTAAAACCTGGTTTTGGTCTCAAGCCTGGGGGTTATTTTGTTTATAGAGAATGGGCACTGTGCAGTTGCACTATGTTTTTAATGGATGTTTTTAGTTCAGGCTGTTTTGTTTTTAATTATGTTAACTTAGCATCAGATTTTTTTAAAGCCATTCAAGGTCTGCAAGGTGGCTATAATAAATTTAATAAAAAAAAATCTCTATTTTAGCATCTCTCAAAACATTGTGCTTGATCAATTTAACTGGCACAGAATAGGGAATCCTGATTAGTTTCATCTCATTTTCTTTAAATGCCTTATTAATTGTGGAGCTTGAAAAAGCAAAAGAAAAGACAAAGAACTTTGGGTTATGAGCATCTACAATATTTGATTAAATTATTAGACTTTTCTACAGGAAAACCTAACTTTTCCCTTTGTTCAGATATCTTTTGTATCTAAGTGCATTGATGCCTTAAATAATTTGTCATCAGCAGTCTTGGAGGATAATTTTACAGTATTGGATTGTATAATATTATATGGGAGATAAAATCTGTTTTGTGTTATTGTGTAGTTTATTTATTTGTGTCACTCATGTAACTGTTTGGAGTATCAAATATTTATATTAGCAAGTATAGAGCAATTGTTTCTTTTGTGTGACAAAATATGTGTAGTAGCTTTTTGAATGTTCCAAATGATATTTGAAGAATTAAGTTAATAATGAATAATTCAAGTCCTCAGCAGCAAAAAAAATATGACTAACAACACATTCCTCTGTTTAGAAATTTCTTACAGCCACTCTGAGTCTAATGAAATATCTAGAGATCTTTGTTTGCCCATTTCCAAGTGTCAAGATTTTTCATACAGGATGCTTCATTTTTCTGAGACATCCTACTTATTTCTAGGTGCTATCAATTGCCTCTATTAAACAGTAATGCTCGCAAAATTATGAACTAATCTACATAGATAAGATCTCAGTAAACAAATTAAGATTTTTCTTAGTGCAATTACAATTGAAGACACTATTATTTCTTTCCCATGAAAAAAAAACTAACTTGCAATCTTGCAATTTCTTCACCAAATTTCTTCTGTTGCTTTGCCAGTACAGATTGATGGTAGTCTGCATGGGCTTGCATTATGCAGTGTTTTGCAGCCAGAAGAGGGAACACCTCCTGGAAATAAAAATACTGACCAAGGGAAAAGTCCAACCACATAAACCATCACAGACAACATGGGATGCAGGAAGAAAAGAACATGACATTAGACACACCCAATTAATGTTTTAGATAAGGCCTGGGAGATAAAGATACCAACAGGCAGGGATTATATTTAGTGAAATCATGAATATTAATCTGAACAGTTAAATTTAGGAAATGCTAATTTGATTTAGAATTTTTCTAAATCATCCCTTTCATCATTCAGGTTATTTTAGGATTAAGAAATCGAATATGCCTTAGGAATTAGGGCAAGGATACAGTAGTTTACACATTACATTTATGAACCCAAATTAAACAAATTATCTAGACCTTAAATTATGAAAAACTAGTTTATGTAAATCACCAAGTTAACATTCTTGAGAAAAAATGATGAATTAAGTCCAAAGAGAAATGGGGGTCACTAAATAAGCTTAAGCACATGACTATATATAAAAGGCTAACATGATCCTTATGGTAAAGATATATAAGAAAATTGCAAATGTGCATAGATCAAGAGATTATGTAAAAGTGCCATATAAATCTTAATAAAGTTACTGAATTTTTTTAAATTACTTTACTTGCAATAACTATCTAAAATGCTATATATTTCTATTTGCTATTTTATTGGAAATACCTGACCTTCAAGAACATGAAAATGAAGTATTTATCATCAGAATATCTTTGGCTTGTCTATTCTTATAATATTGCAAAAGGTATCACTAAAAAGAGAAAATATCATATAAATATTAACAAAATTGAAAGCTAATACCACTTCTGCCTTTGGTCCATTTTCAAATAAATCTTTTTCTTTAAAACTGCACATCCATTTCAAACTTGAATTTCTATTCGTATCTTGAAAGTCAATTCTACAATCAATTTAACCTCTAATAGGCTAACTTATTTGTTTATATCCTGTCTTTATTATTTTTACAAATAACTCAATGTGGTGAACATATCCAATACAACTTCCTATTCCAATTTCCTGACAACAACCCTGTAAGATGAGTTGGGCTGAAAGAGTGCAATTGGACCAATGTTACCCAGTTGGCTTTTATAGCTAAGTTGGCACTTGAACTCATGGTCTCTTCTTTCTAACTTGGTGCCTTAAGCAGGTACAGGTTTGCTAAAAAAAAAAATACTTTACATACTTTGGCTCTAAAATAAGAGAAGAAATGATTGTGAATCATTACTTAATATATTGAAAAGCTAAAGATATTTAAACTTTTTGTTATTTGAATTAGAGGGCCATAAATCAAGGTTTGGATGGCATGGTTACTTATGGTATGATACAAGTAAAGATAATGTTGAGTTTAATAATCATTTTGTTAGACGTACTAAGAGTTTGTAATAAATATAAAACAAAGCTCTCTAAGAAGTTGCCTCTTTGGGTATCACCCTAGGAAGCTTTCTTTAGAAAAGAAATGGCAAAATGGCAAAGCCGGACTGGTTGATATATGGTAAAAAAAATTCTTTCAACTATGGCAACCCAATATTAAAGCTGAGGGAAGACCTTGAAGAAGAAGGTTATGTTTGCCATTAGTTTACTTATCA